GACAAAGGCCGCGAAGGCGACTGGACTGACGAAGTCGAGTTGATCAACACATGGGAGGGGAATACAGAAGTAAGAGAGGAGAGGGAGGGACTAGAACGGGGAACGGAACCGGAACATTGGAAGGAGGGGCGGGCGGGTACACACTAGTTACTATGTGGTTGACAGCTGGCCGCGGTCCATTTGTCCAGCCGCCGTCCACTATTGCCCTTTATTGCGCTTTGGGGAAAGCGGCTCAGACGCTTGGTCTTAGGGTTTCTCGCTTAGGGCTGATCAGTTATGGTCGAAGTACGAGGAGCATAGCATAGCATAGCATAGCATAGGAGATAACGATGAGAGTATAGCATGAGGACATATTCTTCATGACCCCCAAAACCGTGCAAAACATCCCCTGCTACAACAATATCCAGTCTTATCCCTCGGGCCTCTCCTGCAAACTCTCCTCATCTTCAGCCGTACGAATGGGACCCTGGCCCTATAGTGCAGATCATTCCCTCCCTTTCCGTACCCAATCCCAATTTCCTGGGCCGGGTATCTATCCCAATCGAGCAGCATGTCCGCGCGGGCAACAGCAATGATGAACAAAAACAAAAGGACGGATCAACAAGTTACCGGTAACAATAACAATAACAACAATAGTAACGACAAGAAAAAGGGACAAAAGAGATAGTTACTCATAGTCAGCTACTCAGTACGTTACGAGTAACTTGGCTACTGTATACAGTTCAATCTAAACATCCCGCGGAAAGTCAATTCCCAACTAAAGAACACAGAACCCATGGTCTTGGGAAAACTTTCGAACTTCCCTCCGTCCACTACGTGGCTTGTGCACGATCCCCGTCGGTCCGTTCCCCCCTCCCCTCTTCTTCAATCAATCCCCCTCTCTTCCCGTCGTTCCAAACCCCGACTCCTTACATAGTACGGAGTATACAACACATCAAAACAAAGTACTGTACAAAGAACCACGATCCCTGGTCCTCCATAGAGAGAACTAGCGCATGGTAGGAATAGCGAAGAAACAATCCCTACCAATTCATATACCTGGGACTTCCTAGTCCAGGAAACCCCCCTTCCCCCTACCTCTGCATGCATAGGACTTTGTGATCCAGGAATTCGCAGTGGACCGTGCCGGGAACCGCGCGCCTATAGTATCGGTGTATGGACAAGGGGGAAGGAAGAAAAGAAGAGCTGAAGAAGGTTGATCCGCCTTTTCTGTCCGACTGTCGCCGTGTTTCTTCTTTTTCTTTTGTTTCTCGGGTTGGGAGACAATGGGTTCGAGGATCTGAAACGAGGGCCCTATTGTCCGATCTGGTGGTGGTGGCACAACAACGTTTTACTGAGAGTAACTACGGATACTCCGTCGTCGGTTGTAGATTGCGGATCTTCCACTCCCACTCCGTGTCTATGCGATGCTAAGTTTTACCGAACCATTATTTCCGTCTGAACACTGATAGTATTGCAAATTACGAACTGTGCGCCTACAAGCAACGTATACAAAATGTGATTGAGAAACAAGAACAATCTGCACTGCTCTCCAAGGCAGTAGTACTTTTTCTCTCTCGGGGATGAATGTATATGTCTCTCTATCAAAGACAGTTGCTGCGTTGCTGTGCCTTAACCCCTCTTGTCTTGTCGCCGTCTTCCTTGATTTCTTTCTCGAACTAAGAGTATGATCCCTGAACCTGACAAGGCCCAGGAACTAGAATCCTACCTTTGTCTGATGGAGTCTAGCGCGAAGCATGGAACATCCCTGGGGAGGGGCTGATTTAATTTCCGGACGAACAACGCAGAAGCCCGTTGTTCCTGAGGGAGGGAGGCCAGTAGAGCAGACAGGCAAAAAGCAAATCCCCCATGAGTTCGGGCCGACCAACAATCCTAGCTAGTTTAGTTGGACTTGTTGGTGGTTTCAGATTGCAAATCATCATCATTACCCACTACAGCGTGGGCTGACTACCTGTTCAGTGGTCTATACTAATTTGCCCGTTGTTTTGCACCAAAACCAGAAAGGCGAAACATATTATACTACCTAGACACAGGGACACGGAATTTCTGCGGTTCAGTTCGTTATCCCATGATCCCTGCGCAGATTAATGGGCACGGGTTGCACATCATCATCATCAGTATCAGACATATACCGCGGAACAGGGACTGCGGAACCAACTACTAGCGCCTCGTATAGGTCGAGAATGCCCATCTGCTCCGGGACTGTACTGCTCCCACTCACTATAAGCGTGGACTACTACTGGGCAAGGAGATACTGGTGAGCCCGCTGCCCTCTCCACCCGTCCATTTTCCCTATGCCTCGGTGGAAAATCTCGGCGGTAGTCTTGTAGGCGCACGACACCGGATGAGGAAGGTAGCGTACTCTACTTGCGTCGGCTATCTGGTAAGTGGGCTTGTAACGAGTGATCGGTATATCCATGAATTGCGGATTTGCCTTCGGGGATGACGGATGTTTCTGGGGTGAGAACTCCGGACCTCCTACTCCCAAAGAAGGCAATTCGCAATTCTTCGTCTTCATCGGTGGTACTCAGTGGGCTAGTTGTTTCCAGATGGAGACTGGATGCCTCACTATGGAAGATCGCTGCTCCATCTGAGATTGTCAGGCGAATTGTGTGGGGGATTGACGTCGGAGGGGAGGGAGGAGGAAGGGGACTCGGAGACACTTTAAGTAAAATGAAGTCAGAGAGATATTAGAGTAGAACAGTCCAGAAGATCAGTGGCCATGTTACAGAAATCAAGATATTGTTTGATCGCCATGGTCAGGAAATCTTGCTTTTCCAGAGTCGCAATCTATATGAGGTTATCCCCAAGCCTGAGGTATGAGGTCAGGGTCGGTGGGCAACAACAAAAGCAGGGAAATCGAAGAATGTTCCATGGTTGGAGAACAGCAATCTGCCCCGACATCCCTGCTGCTGCTGGTGGAAGGAGGGAAAAAGAAAATAGGAATAGAAACGGTGATATCAACGATCAACACACAGCGCTGCTGCACAAGGTGCATGCACTTACAGGGATAATCCCTGCAGCCTGGGTATGGCTGATTTGGAACCTGCTGATTGGGCTTGATGCACCCTAAGCTCGGTTTAGCAGACCTGCAAGAGCACTGGTGCTGTGGGTGGATGGAGCGAGAGACCACTTCTACTCATGCGCCTGTGTCCCGATGGAACCCAATCGAAACCGGGTGTCGCCAGGACGCAGCTCAGCAGCATCGTTACGCTGCAACTCCAGTGTCGACATCCACGCATTTAATGGGTCCATGGGGGGAGGGGCGGGGGTTTGCGGCTCCACCCGACTGCTGCTGAGTGGAGAGACTGTAAGTACAGCATGATGGCTGCAGAACTGATCCACAAGCCGGGAAATCATCTGGCCATCTCCGCCAGTCGCTGATTCAGGAACAGGGATCCCCCGGCTAAGATAGGTTCGGGGCTAACGAACGCCTGCAGATTGTGGCCAGGTCACACCACTAGGATCCTTTCCAAACCCACGCGAGCTCAATTCCAATTCTCCCAACCATTACCAGCGAACAGACGAGATAATTGGGGAGAAAATAACGTCGGCGATAGACGCCCACCAATGACACCATCGGTTTCATTCCCCACTCCCTATTGTGAAACACCCAAGGTTGAAATCATAGCCAGAGCCATGAGTGGAACGAAAAGCGTTGAGTGGGAAGGGCAGAATCCGATGACTCGTGAAGAATTGAGGCAGAAGATAGAAAGTGGCGGGTGTGGAGGTCAAACACGAGTCGTGCGCGCGCGCGCGCGCGCACACACACACACACACACACACACACCACGCACACGGACGCCTGGGGAGAGGGTGAACTTGCCCGCTCGGCTGCTGTAACACAATCCAGATTGACTTGCAGCTCACCCTCAAACACCAAACATAAAACAAAAATTCAGGAGGGAAGGATGGATAAACCCAATCGGGCCATTTCCCCCCAATCAAGCCCGGCGATCTGACAGTCTACTTCTGGGATCGTTACAAGGCATGTGTAGCCTCCGCTGTCATCGTGATCAACACTACCTAGCTAGCACCCTGCACACCTAAAATGGGTTCCAAATTAGATTCGAACAGACAACAAAGTATGCTTTCCGCCTAGATGACTGGTCGAAACCATGCACGCTGTCCCAGATCCTCGGTCGCGCGACGATTCCCAAAAGGGATATTTGGTAGGAGGGGGGAAGCGAACGAGCGGCGGCGGAGACACAGAAAGAGAAACAGAGAGAAGAATGATTTCAGTTCAATCATCGATTATTCTGCACCTGTTCCTTTCTGGTAGGACGGTTGACGCCAGCCACCCGGACGGGGAGAGGCCGATGACCCCCCAGTCAGTATGGATTAATTAGATAGATAGAGTCTTTGTGATAGAGAATCGAGTCTAGTCGCAGCGACTATGTCGGCGGTTCCATGGTTCAGAGGGTCTTCCGGCATTTACCCGCAACAAGCCTTGATGAGTTGTACAACCCCAGACTTAACTCAGTTCGGCAACTCGGTGGATGGCGGGGGGGCGATTGCACATTTCCGCTTCCTCTTTCGGGGTACGTTGACGCCTCCCATCAGGCTGGCTTGGTGATTCAGTGGAGGAAGGTTGTCCATGCTAATGCGTACAAAAAAGGAAGATCATGCGGATATGAAAGTGAAACCTCAACTGCATGCAAGAAGCTATGTGTGAGTAACTGTACCATGGTCTAGGGATTGGCGTCTTGCCAATCTCATAGCCAGACGGGCTACGGAGTAGTCGGTAGGTGCACTTGCTACCCCACAGGCTGGTCAATGCAGTATCGCTCGGACGAATCTGAATCCCTCCCAGCAGTAGTCCATCCTTATGCTTCCATCCACCCCGGTCCTTCACTTCTCATTCGTGAGCAGCGAAGAAAGTCGGAGAATTGATTATCTAATGCTGACTTCTGACAGCGGTTGAACGGCCACAGCCGTTTTATTATTGGTATAGATATTGTTTACAGTAGTGCTGTTGCACAACATACGCGCTACCTCCTTTACATGCCTCAATGACCTTTCGATGACATCGCATCAGCTGAGAGATACTGAATATCATTATGATCCCATCTAGCATCTTTCTCCCTCTCTCTCCCCCTATTTCCTGCATAGAAGTTCTGCAGAGGCTCGGCCCGGTCGGGAGATAGCCCCCCTCCCCTCGACCTTCGGCCGATCTATGAGAGGTATCGCAAAGAAGTGACATGGTCGGTGTTTTTTTCTCTACAGGTATGAAAAGACCCAAAAGCCTGGAAGCGACATCGTTTGCGGACATCAATGACGTCGTCAGGGCTGAACCGATCGGCGTGGAGGTCAGAAAGAGTAACTTGCTCGCTGCTTTGCTTCCCATCCTTGAAAAGCCGAACTTTCTTCTCTGCCTTCTTCCGCATTTGCCTCGTTTGTCCTCGTGTGCGCCGGTTCTCTTGTTGATTGCCAAAATCCTGATTTCCAGAAAGGCAAAATCAATCGCAGGTTTTTCGGATGAAACGTCTCAACGGTGCCGCTCGCTTGTGATTCCAGTAAAGAGAGGACTACACAGCATCGACGCGCGCTTGACGACAAATAAGAAGATCCTTTCATTTCCAGCAGATGACGGACGGGAAGAGAGAGGGGGAGTAGAGATTCGAGTTCGAGGATGTAGACGACTAATCCTGCATCGAAAGTACTGTACAGTAGGTTTGTGTGATAGTCCGCGGCAAGAATAGTTTAGTTAGATCTCGCAAAGCGAGACCTCAGTGTAGCGAATGCCGCGCCACGACTCTCGCGGGCAGGCGATGTCATTTGGGACGTTTGGTTTCCCCCGGAGCCTTCGACTTGATCTTTGCCTTGTGTACACAGCGAGAAGATAATCAATGGTGGCTGCTGATGGGCGTGAGTAGCAGATCGACTCAATTGTCTAGACTAATCGGTCCAGATGGTCCAGAAGCCCAGGGATCCCATTCCATGGTCAAGGGATGCAACGGTACGAATGTCGTTCCTGAGCAAGACTCCCTTCCGGGAACGGTTAACGCAGGGAAAAGGGGGGGGGGGGGGAAGGGAGCATAGAGAAGGGCGGGAAAAAAGCAAGCGCAGAGTTGACGTTGATCGGTATCGAATGAAGTCTTCAGGAAAGCGGGTTAGTAGAGCTCTGTTGGTGGTCGTCGAGGTCTGGGATGGAAGCTGAGTGGCCTCGTACTTTTGTTGCCGCGATGGGTCGCTTGGGCATGCACAAAGTCTTGTATATATATAAACATGAACTCTCCCTCGATCCCGGGAAAGCTGATCGGTTCTCGGCAAGCCACGAACGATCGAACACGATTCTCCAATGATCGAGCACGATCTCCTGAGCATGCTGCATCTCAGGGTGGGGGGTCTGGACTTTTAGTGCTGCAGGTGAGGGAGAGAGGGGGAAGGTCTAGACTTCGTTTGGGCTGACACACTGACACATTCCTAGACTAACGACGATGCCTGTCATTTGGCTGACAGGATGATTAAATTAGGTGCTAGCTATGATGATATGATTAAGAGCGACTATCCAGGGAGCTCTGACCGGCGATCCTTCATACTACTGGAATTCCATCTGCTTGGTAGGTTGATTGCTTCCTGATGACAAGCGTTGGGACAGTCGGAAGCCTCTCCCCGGGCCGCTCTGTCTCCCCACCTGAATCTATGGCCACTGAATGGTCGGTGCAACTGGAGCGAGCATTAAGGACGGTCCTTTTGACAGCCCTGAGAGCCTGTCTCCTGCCCGCTTTCGGCCCGTCCCCCGACCCCCGTGACCCTCCTTCCCCTAATTCTAATACTAATCATACGTATACCAAATCTCCATGAGAACCAGAGATCAGGACGGGCGGGAGGACGGTAGGCTCAGTGCGTGCTTAGAGAGATCGAATATAATATCCAGTCTCATATTTTTTTTATCATCGAAGGGCTTAATTGGTAGCTATTACCACTTCGATCATTTGAAAGAAGCCCAAAGTACTAAAGTACTTAGTATGATACCAAGCCTGGTCTGACGCCCCGGGTGGGAATTAGCTTGACCCAAAACTTCAACTGATCGAGGTTCGTCACATCACCCCAAGTGGGTTTTTCTCTTCTAACGGAAATGGTCTTTGAGCTCAATGCTAGACTAAGAGAGTTGGTATGTAAAGTACTTCCTAGCAGCTGAACTCGGTTCCTGGATTCCCGGCTGCCAGCTGGTCGGTTTTCGCATCTGTGAAGAAACATGACGTAGTAAGATTACAACCAGCCTTGGAATCAAGTGACATTTCCAAGTATCGGCCGCACATTGCAGACGGGTGCTGTCATAGGAGCACAAAGTACGGAGTATAGATTACCATACTACCACAGCCCTGCACGACGCACGCCTCTTCTGTATGATTGAAAGGGGATTGTTACCATTGTTACCATTAATACCACCCATGTCACGCGTGGCCCACAAATTAGTTCTCCGGAAGGGCCCTAAATTATGCTGGGAAGCGAGGGGTACTTTGATTCTACTCAACTATTTGTTCTGTCTGAGCTAAACGACCTGTGAATGGTTTGTACCTACCCAGAACGTTTGAGATATGTACTCGTGAGAGACCTCTACTCGGAGATGAAAATTGTTCGGATGATCCTCAACACCACAGTCAGCCGACTGACGTTCTAGGACCCTCACCTCAACGCTTTGGGGGAAAGTTCTGGTCTCCGGGCAGGTTCAGTGAAACCCGAGACACATCCCCGTGGCCTTCTCAAATGTCAGTCATTTAACTCCGCCGCCGGCGACCAAGAAAGTCCAACTTCTGGCGAACATATTGACCAGGATGGTGAAGTACTAAAAAGAGCTACAGTCGTCTGCTCGTAGCCTAAGCACATAGTGTGTTTCCAAACAACGAGGAGTTCGTGGTTCTTAGTGGTGGTGAAGAAACGGGCTAAGGAAAATCCGACGTCTGACAGGCGGGCTGTGATCCAATCGCCAGGCCTCAATCGCGGCTTTAATCTCCCATCCATGGCACCGGTCCCCCTCTTCTTCTTCTTACCCGGACCCCGGTTCACCCCCCAGTTCTCTCCCCCCCCTAACTTACGTGATAGTCCCGGGCCCTACCCTGCTCTTCCCTCTTTGGGTATTGAACTAGCCAGTTAGCTGATTGCACATCTCGTTTGTATTACCGACCTTCGCCATCTCACTACCTACCTAGCTAAACAATACTCAAGGTTAAGAAGTGGAGAATCGACCTTCATCAATTGCAAGTGTGCAGCTACCTTGAAAGCCCTTCCATTTTTCAGTCAATGCAATCAGCTAGAAGGAGACTGCCCTCTGAGACAGGAGAGTGCTAGTTGACTAACCGCGATCGGTCAGTCGGTGTCTTGGGCAGCTCGCTCGTGTCCAAAGTCCATGCTTCTATGAGTATATACTTTGGCGGATCTGACACATGACGCTAGTGAATGATATTTAGACATGGTGTTGGAATGCGCGACAACACCCGAGTAATTACAGAACGTATTAGCAGGAAAACGCATTTTGTCAGGGTAGCATACACTCAGTACAAATTTTGGGATGAAGCAATGAGAAACTGACTAGACACCGCCATGTCTCGCTGAATGATCGCCTCTTCAGCCAATATCGGGCATCAAAGCTAGCTGTGACCAATGTACTGATCACAGCATGACAAAGGAGGAAGGAGGGAAGGAAAACCGAAGGGAATAACTTGAAGATATGCCTTCATAGCAAACCATCATTGGGTAACTAAGTAGTTAGGAGTTGGTCGATTTCCATTCTAACAGCAGGATTTCACTCAAGCGGAATTTATGCACCTCGATATGCTTCATGCGCGGCCATGCCACCTCCACCGCCTTGTTTGATATCGTGGCGGTGAGGTTATTTTGTGTTCCCGCCTGCAAACTGTACTGTACCTCCGTACTCTGTGCACCGTACAATAATAGATAGGCATCAGATGTCGCTTGATGCAAGTGTTGTGCCTTCCCACGAGCTCGTGGGCCTCTAATACTTCGTTTTTCGTTTCTCTTCTTCGCCCCCACTATTGCTGCTGCTACTGCCACGTTGCGGGCCATACATATTTTTTTTCTTCGTTTTTTATCACGCTTCATGCAATGTCGGTTCCTCGTTTCTAAAACGTGCGTTAAAACTCTGTGCTGTCGTAGAGTTAATAAGATGGAAGGTATACGGTGTGCTGGAAGAAGTGTAAGACCGGGTAGAAAGTCCTGAGGGTCTGGACTCGGATATGTCGGCCGGTGGTAAGATGAAAAGGGGTTATGGTGGTCATCTGCCAGGTGCGCATCTTCCCCCCTCCATCTTCTCTTTCCCTTGGCGGTCACTTCCTGGGAGCACAGACAAGCATGGTTTAAACAAACACCGCACGTCTCCAGATGTGTAATGGGTGGGATATTGGTGGAACGAGGGGGTTGTGCTGGAGATGAAAGGATAGGCGGTCTGTATACTCTGTCTTGAATTAAATTAACCGGCTTGATTGACTACAGTATCGATAATGATGATTTTGTTGTTGTTGTTGCTGTTGCTGCTGCCTTGAGAGAAAGGGTTGTGCCTGGTGCCTTTCCACTGTTCTACGGGAAAAGTAAGGAGCATAAAGTTATGTTATGGCTAATTGACAGCCATAGCGTTCGGATGACAGCGGACTAGTCGGGTGTGTCAGGTGGCTCTGACGAAAATCCTTCCTCATCGTGACAGCGGGCGATTCTCTCTTAGTCATGGCTCGGTTGGTACTCCTACAGAGTACCAGTAGGAGTATTATTGGCAGGCTGGTTATCTACCAATGAACCATCCAGAAAAAGTAAATCAAATCAAATCAAATCAAATAAAGATAAGATATGGTTTCGCACTTTGTTTGTGTGCCTGGCATGTTTGCATGCCCTCACTTACATAGTAAGTCAACTTACCGCCGGAACTACTGGCGCCAAGTACGTGGTCGGATTAGGCTGGTGGTTACGCAGTACTACTTTCTGTGGCACTCTAGCCGAGTATTATCGTTCACCAGGGGACAAACAAGCATTCGTTTTCCACTGATTAACTGGTCGGCTTCAAGTCCCTCTAGGATAGTGGACTTCATGGTTGGACAGTAACTGATTGCCAATGACTTTTGATGGCCATTGTGAACACAGGCTGAAGTGACACGGTGCCGACGACCCCCTCGAGGCTTTTCTGGTACCGGCAAAAGTACAGCATTGGCGAGGCTCCTTTACCCTCCCCCCCTCACTTCCTCCACCCGCGGGCTCATTTTGAATTTGAGGCTGGAGTATATTGCGCCTTGGTCCCGTACTAAGAGGTTCTTTGGGACCCAGATCGGAGCCGTAGCCACCACGCTGGGACTTCTTATCTGCCCCGTTTCACATGGCTCAGGCATTTCAGAGTTCAGCTACGGGTGGTCGATGCTCGAACCATGTTAAAGCATCGCCGTGTACTTTTCTGGCTTTGCTTCATGTCGTTCTGAATAGGCTTTTTCCCGAAAGAAAAAACCGCCCACTGCCGAGGTAGTCGGCGTCCATGACTCGGGTTGATTGCTTTTCTTTGTCTCGGGGTTCATGGTAGCTTCAAACTAGACAGCTAGTTTGATGGTGAAGATCAAAGAAACTCCATATCGGGAGACTCCGACTAGCGACACTAGTTACAATGGAGGGGGAACTCACAGGTATAGGGTTGGGGATCTGAATTTTTGGCTGGCTGCTCGTTTCAATTGCTACTTCGTTCTCGGGTCTCCATTGGCGAGAAAGCAAGCAGGCGGTGCTCTTGCTTGCAACAAAGAGTTTAAAGACACTTGCCGCATTGACACACGAGTGATTGAAACTAGTTGTTATGGGTAGATTACTTCTTTGTCGCGGGGGGGAGGGGATTAGATTTGTTAACAGACAGCTGACTTATAGGTACATCACTGCACTCATATCGCCAAGTGAGCTCCTATGCCCTGTCAATCCCGATGACAGGAAAAGTACTCCGTACTGTTGTTCGTATCCTCTCGGTCGAAAACGTACTGTTCCTACTCAGCAATGTCATCATCCCGGCCTACACGTACTGGCGACTTAACCACTCTGGGTAGATGCACTACTCAACCTGAGTACTGGAATTCTGTCATACCTTCCTATGGTTGGCAGATCAATCCTTAGCTCTTCCCCTCTCCCCTCTTTACTCCCCCCCACCCTCTCGATTGGCACACTAGCGCCCCGGGGCAAATCTTCTTAGATCCGCGCTCGATTGGGGGACCAAGATCACCCCTCCAGACACAGTCGTCACTGTTTCTTCGTCTATCGCAAACCCTTCTCGAAGTTTTTTTTTTTTTTTTTTTTGGTTGGTGTGAGCCCCGATTTCCTCTTTCGAGACGACCCCCCCTCTCTTTTATCATTGCATTACATGCAGTTCGACGATTGTCTTCAGTACTTTGTTCTCAAGGACCCTAGATGACATATTTCTGCTCATTACGTGATTCGAGGCCGGCTTACTCATGCATCGAGAGCGACGGCCTTTCTAGCGTCATACTGCTGTTCACTGCTACAGATGCTTGGTCGATATACCTCGAGCAAAATCAACCCTAAGCCAATCCCCTGCCCCCTTCTCATCCCGCCCTTGCTCGAGTTGCTCGAGTTCCTGCATTTGAACGATCACGGGAATTGGTCTCCGATGACTTTATCAGGCCATCTCTTTTTCGTGCATTGTTCGCTGACTAGGGAGGTTACTACACAGTAGTATCTATGGATCTGACAAAATGGGGAAAGGTCTTTCTCGGGTAATTCCAATCCATCGTATCAAGTTATGTGTCTGAGTCACCTGAGCATAACGTATGCGCTTCTTAATCTCATTTCGTTTGGTTGGACCGCCAGCGGCATGGAGGGCCGGTGATAGGACCTCTGTTTCGTACTGGATAAGAGACATGTTACTGATAAGTTATTCTTGGGAAAGGCTCCATTTGCATCGTGGGTCTGAAGAACGAACACTGTTGATCTGAAGAATAACTCCCAACCGAGCATCTTGTCGATGTATCAGTAAGTTATCGATCGTTCTTCCTGAGAATATGATGTCCAATGTCCACTCGGTTGCGGAGTACAAACCTCCACAGCTAACTTACAGATTGGAGGGGAAAAGGAAAAGAGGACAACCTCACTAGACTACCTACTAATCTACACACCACACAAACGAAAGAGACCAAAAGTACGGTCGGTGGTGGTACTTAGTCAACTAGTCGTGTCCAGGTTGTGTGTAGTTACTCCCGTTCTGGTGGAATTGGCCATTTCGGCCTAGGTCTAAGCGTGGGCTGGATTGTATGTGTGTGTGTGTGTGTGTTGTGTTTGTGCACTGTGTAGTTTTTGGTGTGTGATGGTGTGTGTGTGGGACATTTTGGGTTTTCTGACGATATGCGATGCGGCGGCCTGTGCGTAATTCGGGGGAAACTCGAGGGCTGGCCGGCCGTCGCCGCTGATGGTGGCCGCGCGCCGTTCCTTGGTTTGGTTTGGTCTTTTGTTTTTTTTTTTTTCTTTTTTTCGGTTCTGATTTTTTCTCGTGGTAAATATCTTGCCCTTTCGGTCTTGTCTATCGCGTCGTACAAGCTGCAAGCCTTCCGAGAGGCAAATTAGGGGAGATTGTTCTTTCTGTGGTGTGTAGATTTTGGAGGTAACTGTACAGTATCCATGACACAGTGCATTTGTAGTGTTGCTCTGTGAGCATTCGATACCTGGTCTCAGCTATGGCATGGATGTTTGTAGAATGATATTAGAGGGCCAAGAGAATGGTTTCTACTACTTTGACTCGGAATACCCAACAATTTGATACAGTGTATCTACTTATGAGGCGCTGACTGTACCGTACTGTACATACATACATCCGTATAGTCGTTCTGACTTACCTCTGTGGATAAGTTAAGGGCGGGGTTTAGGGGAGGAGGGGGAAGTCCACCACCACCACTATCAGTATATATGTATGTATGTATGTATCTATCCATCTATCCATCTATCCAGAAGGTTATCCTAGATTAGTAGGCAGATTTGCTGGTGACGTTGAAGGATAATCCAGGTTTGCAGGGGACAGTCGCTCTCTCTCCGACTCCGTTCCGTCATCCACGGAGTGATACCGGTAGTTGTACTCCGTCGTTAACTGGGAGGCTTGCTTGCTGTCAGGTAAACCGGATTTTCCCATCGGACTGGGGGAGCTGGGGAGCTGGGGAGCTGGGGGAGCTGTCGCCGAAACGTCAAGAAGGCGTGGCTGTACTCCTTACGTATGGGATTCAGCCCAAGAGACCTGCCGGTGGCTTGACGGTTTGCTTTACCGGGGAGACGAGAGAAAAGGAAGCTGCGTTGCAGTGTGCAGTCATCAGTGTGGGTGTGGGTGTGGTGTGTGTATGAGAGAAAGAGGAAAAGACACAAACCGGTTCCATGTTGGCGGGCGAGAGCGCGATCTGCAGTAGCCAATGACGACGACGGGTTAAGTGTTGTCGTGCTGGGGAGATTTGAGAAGGCGAAATAAATTGAGATTAAAATAAAAGTCAAAAATAAAATGACAAGAAAAAAAAAAAAAAAAAAAGTCCCAGCTGCGCAGGAAGCCGCGTCCCGGAAAGACCATCCCTGCTCAAACCGCTAGATAAGTGGCGGTTAGACTCGATTTTCGAAATAGTACGGAGTATTGGCGATGTCAGTATGTCAGAATGTCAGTCGTTATGTCAAATAACTTAGCTCCTACTAAACTTATGTCAATCCAGCTTAGTGTTACCCTCCCCGCCCAAATAAACTAAATTCTCCTCCCTATCTCTTTTCCTTCCAGAGAGTGCTTTTGTCCTGCGTACACTAGACTGACGGGGACCGCCGGATCGGACTGGAGAACCTGAGATTTGACCCATAAGGGCTATCTGAATATTCCACCTGCTAAGGAGATCGAAAGTATCCATCATTCTTGAAGATCTCTTATTGCCTCTTTGCAGCAATCATCAGTGTGTCTGGGGGATCGAGAAGACTACTTACTCAGTATAGCGCGCACATTCGCCTTTCGGCTGTCATCACCGTAAATAAATCTCTCCCCAGGCTCTCGGGATGGCGGAGTCCAGGCAATTATCGATGCGCCACCGTTCGGATTCTTATGACAGTGGAAAGTGTGAGTCCTGGGGAAGAAAAAGGGAGGAGCGCCAACTGCTGCCATAGCCACTTAGCTTGACGATCTACAAATAGTAGTCTCACTTTAGTGCCTTAGCATCGAGATATATGTCCATCAGAATAATCTTAAATTAAATTCAAATGGGAAAAGAAAAATAAATGTCAGAAAAAAAATGACCCTTGCCAAAAACAAAAAAATCATTTTTAAAAGAAAAAGAAAATAAACTAAACTAAAAAGAAAGACCATGGTCTAAAATAATTTCCCCAGCACCAAAGGGAGGAAAAAAAAAAGCAACGAGACCGTCTACCGCATGGCTTACCGAAAACATGCAGCCGCATTTTGTACCAATGCCTTTGCGTCGTCTGGGTGTTTCGGCTCTGATACACTCAAGGATCATCCATGCTCCATGCTGCTGGAACCTCCTCCCCCAGGTCCATGCCAAATCGGGATGGTTTTCGAACTGACAGAAGAAAAAAGAGGGGAGCAATCAATCAATCCATCATGGCTGGCATGGGTGGGTTCTTGGGGTTCTTTTGTCCACAGACCACAGATGCACATCGAGATCCTTTCACTTCTATCTCGCAGACAGTCCAAAAGGTCCAGCTCCAGTCCTTTTCTTCTGCGCTCTTCTCTTCCCTTGATCTTTATAAGAACCTCATTGCACTCCTCACCGTTGCTTCCTTTCTGTTTATTTTTACTTCACTCCTCTGCTCCATATCAGACTGGACTGATCCTTCTATCTTACACTACTATATATACTGGACTATACTTTGCAATCTTCTTTATCGCCTTTACTCATTCCTGCTCGCCTTCCACTTCAGGAAAGACCCAATCCTCAGTCCGTACTACATCGAGTACCGTTTGTGTCACCAAGCTTCTTCGAACCCATTCTAGCACAACGCAAGCAGCCTATACTTCACCGAATCACCTTCGACTGTGTGTGCTAGGATTGGTTGCCAGCAGCTGTCTCGCCACTATATCCCAGACGGCACCGAGGAACAGCGTTCTCTGTTGGGTGAGTAGCTGATTTCTGCTCTGTCCCTGTCCGGTCTTTCGGTTTGTTTGAGACCGGGGGTATGGGTTCATACTTCCGCGTGACGGCAATCCGGGGACGAGGCACTGTATATAGTGCCCATGCTATGTCACTATCAGGGGTCAAGCACTGTTGCAGCAGCGATTTCAGTCGAATGAGGAAGCTGACCTTCGTCTGCCGTTCGTGCGCCACAGCATTTACCACACAAACATTGCAAAGGGCGCAATATCTCTTTGTTTGAGCCGGACGACTCGACAAACCTCAGAGTTGCACTACATATTCAGCAACCTTTCACCTGCGATAGCGATCAAGCCTCGCCAAACTTATGCACCAAGTCTTCGTGAACATCAAGCGTTCGTTCTGACACCCGGTTTGGCTTGCTTAAGTCCAGATCGTTCGATACGATACAATCTCATAAGAATCACGACCATTCTCAAGTCTTTCATCTAATACACATTCACCATGGTTTACACACCTGCAACTCCGTCGGGGTCGGGGCCTACCAAGAGGCCCGCCTCTAGCCTTCAAGATGGCGTTCTCGGATGGGAAACTGCTCCAGTGGGTGTCCTTGACGTCGCTCCTGTCTTGTATTCATTAACATGTTCGCCATAGGTCATGAACGCCTCTTTGCAAACAACCGTCAACATGCCCTTCAGCCACTACTCTCTTATCTACTTGGATCACATGGGCCGGCTGCAGGTTCAAGAGTCGCCTTCAATCAGCGGCCAGAACATGACTATCTTCAGCAACGACGTGCGAGAGAAATTCCTAGAGATACTGGGCTCACAAGTCGGCTATAGACAGCCTTTGATTCGCAGTATGTGTCTGCGAGCCATGTATGGCGAGTGAAAGCACCAGCTAACGCAGTCCAGGAACCTCCGGTGTTAGTCCCACTGCTCTGAACAACGATCGCATGAATGAGAGATACCGGCGCCAGGGCAAGAAGCGCAGAACTCAGCCTAGCGCTTCCTCTTCAAATCTGCGATACTCGAACCCCTACACCAATACCGTGCAAGATCTGCCCCCCGTTGTTGCTGTCACCAGGGTTGCCATCCAGATTGGCGACGCGGAGAAGTTACTGCAGTACTACCGGGTAGCTCTGATCAACGTTCAGCAGCAAAACTGCCGTATCATCGCCAAAGCATTCATTAAGTACATTGAGCCGCGGAAGCAAGTGCGGCACCCATACAACGGTGGCCGACCCAGGCCAGGAGCGCCACCAGGAACCAAAGGAGATCCGGAGTTGACGAAGCCCGCATGGTGGCCAGCGGATGTGATTCACAAGGAGCCTGATCATCTCAAGAAGAACGGTATGTTTGTTTGCGTTGAGATTTGCGCGAATATTGGCACTGACTCTTTTGCGCAATAGAACGGATCAAGCTTCTTCTCCACATTATTCGAAACCTCGCCCAGCACGGCATCACTCCAGAAGATTTGCAGGAGGTTGCGCATGACTGCAGAAGACACATCCCCGTCGAAAAGATGGCTATCCTGGACGAAATGTTCAGGGTCCGCAAGATGGAGGTGCGGTACGAGACGGGCGAAGTTGGTAAGATTCAATCTCGTGGGTTTGTGAGACAGAGGAATCCCGGCTAACGAAGACTTCTCAGATGCGACCACCATTGTGTACGTCGAGGCAAGAGACGACAAGGAAGAGAAGGATGAGGGCAATGAGAAGGACATTGACTGTGTGGTTGAGCCGGAACAGAAGATCGAGCCGGAAGAGACCGAGTGCAACGAGGTGATCACCTCAACGGCATCTTCAATTGAAGACTTGTCTGCTCCATTCACAGCCATGGATCATCCAGTCAGCATGTCCTCTCACCGTGCCATCTCGATGGGAGCGGATCAGGGCCAGCTCTTCCCTCTACCAGAGTCGCTGAGCTACGGTGAGACGGATCGACTACAGGGGCAATCTTTCTACTCGGCCGCCGGGGACTTCAAGGACGAGTATACATCGCCCACAGTAATCAACACCCCCACAAGCAGCGAGATGCCCAGTCCGCTCGAGCAGACCTCGTCATTCGACTGCATGACCCCTGCTCCTCTCAGTACTGCCGCTGGCTCGGAACACCATCGCCCTACGACCATGTCCATGCAGCACTCTGTCGGACCATACGATAGTTGGGCCGCGCCATCCTACCGTCCACAACCCCTGTACAGCTCCTTCGACTACAGCACGGTAGCAACCAGCCAAGCGATGTCCCAGCCGGCTATGCACTACCAGATGCCGATGCCAGAGATGCACGGCCTGCCTGAGCTGGGAAGCCCCTCGAGGATGTCCTTCCGGACCGGCTCCTTGAGTCATTCGAACCTCCACCAGTCTGCTGAGCAGCTGTGAATATCGACCGCACACGAAATGACCACGCAACGAACATATATGAACTTCCTTTTCTCCGTCTCTTTTTTTTTTCTTCTGTTGTTCTGGACTGGTGTACCTTTTTTTTTTTTGCTGGCTTTGTCACCGTTTTTCTTCATGTGTACTTGACTTAGAATTGTTGGGTGGTGAGGATTGCCTTTTTGTGACTTTTGTGACGCCCTGGATGGGGTGGCTGCTGGGATTGACATGAATAGATTTTGGGAAAGCAAAGGGCGCTCGTGTTTTGAAAACTCCTTTGCTCCTGTCGTCGTTTTCGGGACATGGAAGCAGGTAGTATATTGTGTTTTATTGACTTTGGTTTGGCTTATTCTCTGGATTCTTTCGCTTTTCATTTGTTTTGTTGGGCTTTTGTGAAGGGTGGGTTGGTACAGTACTTGACAGCAGCGTTTTAGCGTCCTTTCTTCTTGTACCTAGTGGTACCTGCCAAAAGAATTGCCTGAGCGATACACGTTTCTTAATGAGTTCCGCGTCTGAGTGTAAGACGAAACGTAAGACTTGTCCGACGATGTTCGAGGGAGACGTCGATCTACGTTTACTCAAGTGACCAAGCCGACTGCTCGTCAGCAGCATAGCAAGTCATAAGACGCCCCTCCCGAGAAAAAAAAATTGTAACAGAAGGGAATTGCTGGTAGTCGCCTTTCCAAGCTTACTCCCATCAGGTGTCTTAATGGCAGTCCAGAGTTGGGTAGGTGTCTCCAGGATGGGTGAGTATCGAAATACTAGTCGAGGGTGAGTTAGTTTTCTGAAGTTTGCGTGAGGACGGAGAGAGGCTGAGTGGGATCGCCTTTGCCATCTGGGTCGATTGAATATCCCCATCCTAAGCTGTAAGGCTCTTAAAGAACAGACCTTAACACTGTCATTTCACAGGATGTGCTTCCTTGCTTCAGCGCTATCGTGAGCCCTTCCCCATGGAGCTTCTCTGATGCGATCGAACTGATTTTAGCTCTTGGCTGGTGCCAGAGGTAGAGAGAGGTGACTGAGTTTTTTGGAAGAGATGTGATATGAAAGTAGCCGGAGATGACAATGACTATCTTCACCACCAAAGAAAGGAAAGGGTGACAGAAAGAACCTCCGGGAATACTGACTACTAAGTCCGGAGTTTCGCATATCTATGACGACTTCTGCACGGCATGGACTGAGGCGCCGGGAGCGGCAGCGGAGGCGGCTGAGGTAGTGGTCTTAGCGGAGGGTGACTCTTACCTGTTCCTGCTGCTGTAGTCTTCGTCAGGATGTTTAGTCTGGTCCATCATAATTCATTCATTGCTCACGGGGCCCAGTTGATCTCTGCTCTAGCAAGTTTCACTCACTCAAGAAAGTCGGTTTGTAATTTACTCACAGTACTATGTCTAGTTTCACCACCCTTCTAGAGATGGGACTAGACAGAGCTGCTTATAGCTATGGTTGAATTTGATGGCGTAGATGCGGTGGTGAAACATGGCTCTTTCCTGCCAGGGTGGCAGTGCTACGGTATGTCTTTCAAAGTCTTGTACCCAAGCTCGGCTAGTATGCGACATCTGACTCTGTATCAGGGATAGGCAGGCTTTACATCACTGATCGTGACTGGTTAAGATGCTAACAGGGTCGTTTAGGTGGTGCGGTCGGGATGGTAGGGAAAGAGGTTGCAGATGAGTTGGTGGTAGTGGTGAAGTTTTTGGTTTCCACCCGGGTCCGAAGTTTGGGATTCCATCCAGAGTTTTTTCAAGTCCCCCCCCTACTATACAGTTATCGCCATACGGACTTCAAGTTCGGAGATAGAAATCCGTGGTTCATAGTCCTATGCTCAGAAAAGCCATGGTGGAAAGGCTGTGGTTTTAAGCCTCGTGACCCAATACATTTGATCTTCACCTATAGAACCTATCACTATACCAATCTGGCTGGCCAAAAATATTATCACAGAAGAAACGGCCTTTGATCTACTTATTCTTGGAAGTATTAGTTCTCTCTGCATCCCTCAGTTCGTTTGCCACAAAATCCAAGAATTCTGAAGCCAAATCCTGTGGCAAGCCTGCCTTCGAAAGCCGAGCCTCCATCGCAGAATCAACAAGACGCGGTTGGCCGTTTGTTTGGCAGCAATGGCTCTAGTGAAGCGGACGGATTCAAGCTTGCATGCTGGACAAGGTATAGCGGTATGGCTTATAGTTAGTTAGTTAGTACGAGAAAGCTTATGTAAATGCAGTACCGACTCATTAACAATGGCATAAACGTCAACATCGCTGATACCAGGCTCGTATGCGCCGTACCCAGCAGCGCCGAAGGACTAGATAGCCCAAAGATTCCCTTCCAGCTCGTCTTGCAGATTGCCGACCAGGCTGTGTAAGTAAATATCTAAGTGGCTATCCACCCCCTCGGTCGACACGTAGACTGGTTGGTCTGGAGAGCGAAGGAGATAATTGGCCATGCTGGCTATCAATATAGTCTCACTCGGCTTGGATATCAAGCGGATTCTGATAGGCTAGTTAGGTGTCGTGAGACCGCCTCATTGGCCCTGGCAAGCAAATAGCGACGATGGATGGTATGAAGCGACTGAAGCGGCCCTACATCTTTGATATAGCACTTTAGTAGGCACCATTGTCATGTGAGAGGTGGGCCTAACTAGATCGTACCAAATGATATGATTATCCGGAGTAACCCCTACCCTACCCCATTGGACAAAACAAATCAATCCTGGGAGAAGCATTTTCCCCGTCCACCTTTCGCTTTCTCTTTTTCTCGAAGATGCGCCGCAAACGCCGCCGGCGTCGAGTGCGTTGTATCTTTCCCCTGCGTCGAGACGGGTTGTCTGTGCCAAGTTCTACCCCGCCCGCCACAGGCTTCTACTTGGAGGTTGTGAGCTTGTGATACAGACCACTATTCTACTAGTGGACGAGAACGCCTATCTTTCATTCCATAACAAAACAGCAGAAGCGCACCCGGTCCTACTGTTAGATTGTACATCAAGGGCGTTTGATAGCGGAGAAAGCCGCAGAAGCACTACATCCTCCTACACAGGCCACAGAACGTATGCCATAGCCTGGGCAAGGGTTTGCCGAAAAGCCTAGTTATCAGCACTTTTGGCCTCTCGGCCTTGCTCCTCTTGCTATTTTAAGAAGCCCCAATCCTGCACTCAACGCAAATTCCCAAAGGTCTCCGCAAATATTCTAGAAGACCCATACCCCACAAGTATGAATCCCGAGCGAGAGATTTCAATTTCCAGAGCACCAGAGCCAACGTCCGATAGAGGAGACAGCTCCCCAGACATATTCAGCTTTCAACAAGAAGAGTCCCCGCCATTACATGCCGTTCCTCTTGCACTAAGATGGAACGAGTCTAAGACTTCGATATGGAGATTGACTGCCACATTTTGGTGTGCATTTGTGATGGGATCCAATGATGCTACATATGGAGCAATAATACCCTATGTTTGTATCCTCCCCTTATTTCACGGATACAACCACTGATCCGGTCTTGCTCGTATTATTCAGCTAGAACAGTACTATCAGAAAACCTATACGACCATCTCCTTCGTGTTCCTTTCACCGTTTGTGGGCTATGCCTTGTCTGCAATCATAAACAATCCAATTCATCAATCCCTCGGCCGGCGAGGCATTGCGATAATCGCACCGAGTTGTCATTCGATTGCCTTTGTGATCATATCAACTCACCCGCCCTTTCCAGCTTTAGTGATAGCGTATATTTTTGTTGGCATCGGCAGCGGACTTCACAATGCAGCGTGGAATGTCTGGATTGGAAATATGGCGAACTCACATGAAGTTTTGGGTTTCTTTCATGGCTTTTATGGTGTCGGAGCCACGACTAGTCCTCTTCTTGCGACAACCTGGATCACGAAAGCCGGGTGGCAATGGTACTCTTATTATTATCTGCTGGTATTAGTTTCCCTCCAGCTTCTCGTATCTTATGTTAGCTACTGGGAAATGCTTAGCTAACAGCTTGATATAGACCGGGGAAGCTATTATATCGCTGGTGTATGCGACCAGTGCGTTCTGGAATGAGACGGAGGCAAGATATCGGTTAGAAAATGCCAGCTTTCCCGGGAGAGGAAGGGGGGCTTTCTCCCAGATCCACTTCGCACTCAAATACAAGGTGACTTGGATATGTGCTGCCTTTCTGTTCCTCTACGGAGGTATTGAGGTCGCAATCGGTGGCTGGATTGTCGTCTTCATGACAACTGTCCGCCACGGCGGCGCATTCGAATCTGGATTAGCAGAGACAGGTTTCTGGCTCGGTATCACAGTCGGCAGATTTGTGCTAGGATTTGTCTCACCGCGAATTGGAGAGAGGCTATCCATTGCTATCTACATCCTTTTTGCCATTGCGCTTGAAATTGTTTTTTGGCTCGTACCCGAATTTATTGTTTCTGCTCTCGCTGTTTCACTTGTCGGGTTCTTCATGGGGACCATTTTCCCCGGCGCTGTGATTGTGACCACGCGCCTGCTGCCCAGAAACCTTCACGTTGCTGCTATCGGGTTTGCAGCTGCGATTTCCATGGGAGGCGGTGCTGTGTTTCCGTTCATCATTGGCATTACCGCTCAGACTAAAGGAGTTACAGTGTTGCAGCCTATCTTGCTTGCGATGCTGGCTGTTTCCTTAGGAATCTGGTCCACATTGTTCAGGCTTCCGCGGCTAGAAACGTCGCACTGACTGCGGCGACCGCATTCACACAGTCGTCAATAATTCTTGCTGGCGCAAGGCAATGAGCGGAACCACTGGCAACACCTTACCAGCGGTAGAATGCCCGTGCGGACAGGGTCAAGGACTAAGGAAATCAGACTTAAAATTGCAGGAGACAGTTTACCTCAAAAGGTGACATAATTAACGAGCTGAGAAATCAAGGGAGCGAGACAACAACAAGATGATTATCACTGTATGTTACATATTATCAACTACTCATAATCTAGTGGTTAGGTACAAAAATTCTAATTAACCTAACCGAACCTGGCTGTTAGCTACTCTAAATGCAACAGTTATTCCTTGGAATATGTCAACGAAGTTAAGACATCAGAGAAGAGGTTCTGGGACGTGTTTTATATGAGTCTTCTTTTTGGTTGGTTGTTGAACTAGCTACGTTCCCGCATGTAAACAAGATGACAAGGCCTTTGGAATCACGTGGCCGGATTACTTAGCAACGCTGACGGAATACATAACTGAAGGTGCTCTATGATAAATATATAAAGCTGCTAAAGATTTACCTTATAATATATTTTTCTACTGATTTTTTCTACAAGAAGATTTATAGAAAAAAAATTAGGCACTAGTATAGAGAAATTAAAGAATAGCAAACCAAAATTGAATATAACATTGTTTAGATATGAGAAATAGACTATCAGCAGTTTGAATTATAGTTATAAAATTGTAAGGGCCTTGCGAGCCCTTCCAACCTTCGCGATAGCAATCGCGAAGGAATGTATATAAAAGAAGGCCTAAGGCATCAACCACGTGACGGCTAAGCGAGGTGGTCGCGGAACCACCCAAGGCAGCGGCAGTCCCGCGAAGTTAGGCAGATCAGCAACAACACCTTAAGGCATAATACTCCCACCTTGGCTATCGCGATAAGGCATTCGTTCACTACACTATTTCACCCCTTTAGCCCTTATAAATATACTTAAAGTCTTCTAATTTAGAATCAAACTTTGGTTTCTTGACAGTTAAAGAAAACTTTTTAAAAACTAAATTACACTTATTCTACGATACTACCATAATGATGGAATAAAGAAACCCCATTGGGCATAGTGTCCTATTAGCCGCGCGTCAGCAGCGCTTGCGTTTGATCGAGCTTGGCGCGCATTGACGCAGTCCCACCCGCCGCCGCCGTCGGGAGCTCCCCTCGAGTTGATCGAAAGTCCCCCCAACTCTTTCTATCTTCCCTATAATCAAACAAACGATCAATCCCTTCGGAAGGGCAGTTGCTCCTAGTCCGCCCATCAGCTCCCCGCACGTTCCTCGTCCTCTGCTGGATCTTAGCGGCCTACAGCTGCGTCCGCCCCCTCGGTTCGTCTCCAGACCTCAACGCCCATCCTGTCCGAAGTTGCGGGAACACCATCTCATTTCCGCGCCACTTGCATTCGCTTGCAACAAATCATCGTCGCAAAACCTGTAGACCTTTTATCTGCACACTGTCCAGCTACTACCCATCATTCCTGGAATCTCAATTTCGAAAGGTACCGCGCCTATCGTTCGTTCCGCTTGCATTTTATAGGTGCTCCGTTCACGAATATCTTACTCATCGTCCAATTGCTCTCTATCTCTCTCCTCCTTCTCTATCTTCGTCGCCTTGCGATTGCATATTTATATCGTACCTTCTCCCATTATGCTTGAACCACAGCTGACTCTGCCGTCACACCCGTCTCCGCGGTTTTCCTCGAGCATTCAGCGCTTCTACAGTTCTCGATCCTATTCCTTGCCGTTCATTACCTGACCACGCTACCCGTAACACAAGAATCGCGCCCGAAAACGCAATCAGAGCTTTAGACGATCGTATCGAGATTTCTCTGCCCATCATACTCAGAGCGCTACAAATCGAAACCCCCCGTCCACGATCCCGCTGGCTCGCGGCAGAATGGCCGGCCCAGCGAATCCTTTCTCGGGCATCGGCCAGAGAGATGGTTCGGCTGGCTCCGCTGGTCGTGGACGTGGTGGACCATCTGGACGCTCGACTCCGTATCAACCTAAGGCCAACACCGCGACACGCGACCCCAGGCTTCGTGGTCGGGGGCGCGGCGCTTCAGCGGTAAGAGGCACACGTGGTCAGGGGAGGGGTGCCGGGACGGGGAATAATGTCTGGAGAAAACAGGCCGAGCAACCGGCCGAGCCTGCCACCGTCGCCTCGTCACCTTTCGGACAGCCGAAGAAGCTGGCTTCTTCCTCCCCCGCCCCTCCTGCGCTGAGCCCTTCCCCATTCGCGGGATTTGGAAAAGCATCCCCCGTGTCATTTGGTACCCCCTCGAGCTTCTCCGGAGCTCAAAATGGCGGCAATGTCGCTTCACAGCGGCAACCATTTGCGCAGCCTACCAACGGAGCGATCAGTGCGACCGTCCCCGTAGAGGACGCCGCGCTTCTAAGTAGCTATACGGATCGCTACGAACAGGTTAGTTCAAATTATGCTTCAGGATCTGTACACTGGTGGCTAGTTTAATTGATGCTCACTGTCGAACAGCTCAAGCTTGATCGGACGAAGCAAAGGGAGAAGGCTATACGGGAAGGTCAGATGGCAGATCCGAACCAGCCAACGTCACTGCAGCAAGCCATTACGCCTGTGGGTACTTGTACAAGTATGTGTCCAGAATTCGAACGAGTGGAGCGTATCGTTCAGAAGATGGTCGACAAGAGCGAAAAGGTGATAGCATCTGTCCGAGTTCTGCGCGTTCGAAAGCTTACTCTATAATCAGTACCTGCATCCTGCCACGAACACCTTACAAAACATGGAATTGAAGATGCTCAAGCGGTTTCGACGATCGGCCGCCGGTTACGACGCGCAACTTCCGTCCGATATCAGAACACCCCAAGCGCTCCTTCAGACTATGAATTATCTCATCCGGCATGTTCTTGATGGCCCTGAACCGCTTGGATTGATCCACAAATTCGTTTGGGATCGGACTCGGTCAATCCGCAATGATTTTTCCGTGCAACAGGTCACTCAAGAAGACGATGTCAAGATTGCTGTGACTTGTCTCGAGCGGATCGCTCGATTCCACATTGTATCCCTGCATCTACTTTCTAGCCCGGCTAATGAGGAACCTTTCGACCGACACCAGGAACGGGAACAATTGAACAACACAATGCTTTCGCTAATGTACTACTACGACGACAACAGAGGCCGCATCCCGTTCCCCAACGAGGATGAGTTCCGAGCTTATTATATTCTTTTCTCGATTCATGATCAACGACCTGACTTGGAATCCCGCGTCCAGAAATGGCCGGTTGAGCTGAGGAGCTCCCCTCGTGTTCAGATGGCACTGGAGCTTTTCGCCGCAGCCAGCAATACATGGGAATACCAGGGTACCCTCGATGCCAAACGCCCCAACGCTATCGCCCAGGGCTTCTACATGCGGTTCTTCAACCTAATAGACTCTCCGGGGGTCTCATACCTAATGGCATGCGTCGCCGAAATTTACTTCAATCATATGCGTCAGACCGCCATCCGCTCGATATGGAAGGCCTACTGCCGCTATCCAGCTTCGCAACAACATAAAAACGAAGAATGGACGGTGGACGAGCTGACTACGGTTCTTCGCTTCGATGATTATGACCAGACGATCAAATTTTGCGAAGAGCAGGACCTCCAGTTTGCCGAAAATGCAAACGGGGAGCTTTATCTCAATTGGGGCACCCGTCCTGTGGATTCAGTCGGTACGTGTGCACTCTCGACAGCTGCTTCGCCGTATATATCAGTCCGTCGGACTCAATTCGCATCCTAAGGAGCTTGGATTTTAAGGCTACCAGCTCTGGTACTCACTTGATTTGACTTGACGACTAACTCAATTCGCGTTACAGCCTTCCAGCCATCCTCGGACCATGCATTTTCAGACACATACGTCGAATCGAAGCGCGCAGGTAGAACGCTTCCAGCAATCATCCTTGGGCTCAACATCAAGGAGGCAGCAAATCTGCAGATGATTGACAGTTCTCTCCTGCCGGAACGTGTCCCTGCTCTTCCCGCTCCTCAACCACATCCTTCGACAAATGATGATTCACTTTTTGTGAGCGACGACGAGAATCCCTCTGCATTTCGCTTCACTTCTTCGCACGAAGGAAGCTCCCGAAATTCCCCGACATCAACATCTAGCCTTCAGAACGCTTTTGTAAATGTTCCACCAGCAGTTATCAGCACTGATCCGAGTCGCCCCCCAACTTTCTCATTCGCCTCACCTTCACCTCAACCACAAGCACCTGAAAAACAGGCGGCCCCTTTCTCGTCCCTTTTCCCTAATTCTTCCTCTAACGCTTTTGGCGCGCCTTCACCGCTGCCACCAACTCCTTTCGCCACTGGCACCCCACATTTACCCCAGTCAAGCCAGTCGCAGTCTGGTCTGTCAGCAACATCGAGCAGTCAGCCGTTGTCGTCGAGCCCGTTTTCGAATGGCGCTTCGGCATTCTCGTTGTCTAAGCACCCACAGCAGGATCAAAGTACGACTGCTTTCCCGTCGGCATCGGGCAACCAACAGGCTTCTTCGGGCGCGTTTGCTGCGACTACCTCTCCTTTCTCGTTCCCCAAACCTCCTCAGCAGAATGAAAGCAATAAGCACGTGTCTAGTACGTCAAACGCACAAAAGGCTTCTTCAAATTCGTTCTCATCAACTACTTCGCCTTTCAATTTCGGACAACCAGCTCAGCCAGAACAGGCTACAGCAGCGTTACCGACAGGAAACAGCCAACAGCCTATCTTCGCCAGTGTTCAAAGCCCTGGTCAAGAAAAGCAGCAACAACCACCACTCTCCTCCCTTTCATCTTCTACGCCATTCAAATTTCCAACATCTTTCACTCCTCAGCCCTCTTCGACTTCCCCTTTCAGTACTTCCGTTCCTGCGTCTGCGTCAAATCCTGTCTTGTCGTCTACCGGGCTGTCCACACCTAGCATATTCAGTACTGGTGGTTCAAAGCCTACCTTCGACGGTCTCTCTGGCTCGGGCTTCAGTGCTTCTGTACCAAGCCTGACCTCAGACAATGCGGCTGCTAAACAGCCTCCGTCCTTGTTTCCCAACCCATCGGAAGAAACAACCAAGCCGATATCTCCTTTCCCTTCATTTTCTACTCCGAAAGAGACCAGTATGCGAACCCCAATCGTCTGAATTAATTCATATGCTAATTTATCCGAAGAACAACCTAATACATCCTTTGCTCAACCACCAGCTGCAAAGTCCGATGTTTCACCTAAAGAAAAGCAGAGCCTACCGAGCGGTGTAAAAGCCAGTATCTCAGACAAGCAATTTGACAATTCGACGCCGGTGCAGGCTGATGTACCAGCTGTCTCCGTCTCAGAAAAGGAGCCAGAATTACAGCTGGATGACCTGGGTTCTCCGCAAAAGCCACTGCCTGCAGCCACCGAACCGAGCAAGAATCAAGTTTCAATGGCTCCTGCTCAGCCTCTACCCGAAGATGTTACAACTAACGACGAGGCGCCTGTGCACCGTACTTCCTGGTTGTCGGCTCTCAGGGAAGCCGCTGACCGGCGTCGGGAGAGCAAACCAACCACCAGTCGCAAACGAGTTCACGAGGAACCTGAAGAACCCTCGCCACCGCAAAGCGATAACGGCACTAAGGTGATCAAGGCGCAAAAGCAAGAAGCGCCTCGCGTGCCCAGCCGAAAGTCGATGGCACTCTCCTCTCTGAAGCCTTTGCCCAAGCTTCCGATTCTGAAACAAATCGAGTCGATGACAACCCGGAAGCCAGCCGCGCCCTCTAAACCCCAGGAGCCAAGGTCTGTTCAAGTCGATGAGGACGAGCTCCTCCTCTCTGCTGCCCGCATTGCAGCCGAGTCATTGAGAAGCGGTCCCCGGATCTTGGACGGGTGGTCTGCCGCTTCTTACGATGGGCGGGCGTCATCCTTCAGCGGTAGAAGCAGCGCGTCGCCGTCTTTAGCATTTTCGCGGAGCCAGTCACCCCAGTCAGGCCAGGTGAACGGGTACGAGATCTCCCTGGCGCCCGAGACCAACCTAGGGCTAGGTCGTACCATGTCTCGAACGGAGCAACGGATCCGCATGACCGGGGCTCACGGGCTAGCCTACAAACCTTTGGACTTTCCCCCTACCGACCGCAAACGGAAAACCCGTTGAGCCTGCTTATGTCTGGTACGATGGAGTCATCCATGGCCCCGTTCTCATCTCATTATTCAATCATGCGCGCTTCTGCCCTGTAGGGTTTTCACGAAAGACCCTCGATTATCATGCATGTCAGGAGGAAAGGACTATACTATACCATTGGATGCATACTTTTTTTTATTCTCGCCACGGCGTTGGTTGGGCGATATTGTTCCCTCATGTGCATGAAGCTTGAGTTATGTTTGGGGGTTTTTTTCGCTTCCATAATGCAGGGCGCTGGAATCGTTCATCTTTGGGCATACAGATTTATATGCATTGTACATAGCGCTTGCTGCATTGAATGCATCTTACGCATACGCACACCAATTTCCTCTTTCTGTCCTATCATTCTCCAACCCCTCAGGTACAGCTAGTAAGCCACGTATGTAATGTAGAGACAATGAGAAAGACGGTGACTGCCCGGTTGTCTGCCTTGCTTGTATGTTATCGTACGTAGCTACTATGGGCAGTGCCCGATCGAATCAAGACCACTGAAGCCACGGCGTAGGTAGGTATTTCCTAGTGGCATAACATCTCAGTCGCAAGCCCATCGATTTGACGCTGTGACGTGAATTCTAATTCTCTTCTCTCGCCTCCTATTTGACTCGACTATAGCTGTATAGGGAGTTGCTACTGAAGCGGGTGTTTTTAACTGGATAGTTCTAGACTAAGCAAGTTCTTTTACTGGAATGTATAGATGACTGATACAGTTCTGATTTGTTAAAGGTATAGATGTACCGTTTAATCTACTCATAGTAAGAAGATATAGATAAGGGAATGAATGGCAAGACAGTCCGGTAAGCAAGGAACCAATACAAGCAAGATGTTCGACGCGCGAGCAAAGAACCGTGCCACCAAAGAATTTCAGGCCCCAGGTCAAGGAAACCTGGAAATAATAGTTAGAAGGGGTCGAAGCGGATTAGGCAGATGATTCATGTTTCCAGGGGCTGTAAGCTAATGAATCGATAAAGTTGTGTTGTTGAAATCTACCCATTGAACACGGCCGTGTACTCGCTACCTGATCTTACTCTCTTCCTCTCTCCTGACCCCAATAAACTTCCGTGTTCTATCCTGGTATCATTGCTGGGTCTTAACTAGCTATATCTGGCAGATACTTGCAAAGTGGAATGAAAGGAAAAGAAAATGATGCACGCTCAAGACAACCCAGCTAAGCCGACTGCACGCCCTCATCCACGTCCTCTCCCTCCCCCTCCCCGTCTTCATAGTCCTCATCTACCTCGAGCTCATCTTCTTCCTCCTCCACGGCCACTTCATCTGAACTGGTCCGATTTGTCATTGGCGGAAGCACCGGATCCGACAAGGTAGGCGACGCCTCAAGATGGCAGGCTGTATCTGGCACCGTGGAAGCCCGTGACAGTTGGTCTTCCTCGTCCTCGTCCGTGTCACCGTGGCTAGATCTCACCCCGCTATAGCATCTGGGTGATTTGTTGGGCTCAAACTCCTTCGCGTAGCTAGACAGCTCCACGATTGGGTCTCCGGGTGTCCGAGGCACCCAGCCCTTGCATGCCCGGCTGTACAGGTCTTGGAATGAGGTCCCGTGACTGCGATTGCTGAACCATTCATGCTCCAGAGCTTCCTTGGCCGTCATGCGCTTGTCCTCCGCCATCTCAAGCAGGCGGCAGATGAAGTTTTGAGCGCGGATTCTGAGCTTCTGTACATAAAAGAAACTCAAAAGCTTGAACATAGTAGTGTCCTGAGCAACAAAGTCCGCCCACGATTCGAACGAACTATCGGGTACAAGCTCTCCGGTGAGTAGGATGGTTGCCACACATCCCACAGACCACATGTCGACAGCTTTGGTGTAACGTCTCTCGAGCATCTCACTACTGCAGTTAGCGAGCTGATTCCGCTCTGCTACAGAGACACACCGTCACATAGTGCCTGAAGAAGACCGAACATGACTTACGGAGCACGATACGCAATGGTACCCGTCGTTGCCGACATTCTCTCCATAGGATGATTCAACCGTGTAGCGCAGCCAAAGTCAGTGAGAACAACCCTACCCCCCTCTTCCAGCGTTGTCATGAGGATATTATCGAGTTTCAGGTCGCAGTGGACAATATTTTGGTCATGAAGGTAGTCGAGTGCCATGAGGATCTGCCGTACTACCGCTGCGGCCTCCATATTACCAAGCTTTCCTCCTTTGTATTGCATATAGGAGAAGAGATCCCCTCCCGTGAGAAGATCCTGGAAGATGTAGCTGTTCACCACCGTAAGCCTTTATCTGTGTTTCCGGGTTCACCACGACTCACTATGTATCAGGGAAGCAGACCACCTTCTCGAGGCTCACAATATTGGGCTGCGCGCAGGAGTGATCAGTCAGTCTTTCCACAAGCTATAACGTTTTGTACTAAAAACCACCCACGCATAGCCATCCGGCCTCTCTCATCCAAGGGCACCCACAAGTCCCTGCCTTCCGCTTCTCCAAAGAATCAGACTTACATGGCTCAGCTCCTTCAATATCATAACCTCCTGCCGCAGAAGCTCGCGCTTCTCCGTCCACCTCTTCCACACCAGGTCATCGAACTGCGTCATAGCCCCGAATTCCCCGGATTTCCCAGCTTCCCCAGTTTCCCCAGCCTCCCCGGAAGGCTGTAACTCATGGTGCTCGAAGAGGTTGGCGAGGTCTGCTCTCACCGATCGGATAACCTGATCTCTAAGTGGCCGCAGATCCAGGACCTTACACGCCAATTGCCGTCCATTGTCTCGCCGATATGCCATGTAAACCGTTGCAAACCCTCCAAGCCCGAGTTTACGGTAAGTTAGGATATATTGGCCGCGGTTCAAGACCTGCATCTCCTCTTGCTGCAGGTCATACGGCGTCTGTTTATCATACACCCGGTCCGGGCAATTGAACATGAGGAACTTGTCGCCCTTCAGGCAGAGGATGTCGCCGTGGGTGAGCAGGAAGCCGCCGGCCGAACGGCCCATGGGGTAGCCGTTCCAGGTGGTCACGTTCATGGAAAGGTCCTGCGCGTAAACGAGCGGAGCGATCTCGCTGGGGTTGTCGCGGTCGAAGACCACGGTATGAATGCGGAGATGCTTCCGCGAGACGTGTCTGCTCTTGATAACGTAATCGCATTTCGTCGAGCGGCCGATGGTAATCACTTGGTCGCTGTAGATGGCCAGAGGGTTGGTGGAGTCCCCGGTATGGATATCGTGGGTTAAGATGGTGCCGACGAAGAAGCTTTGGGAGGTGGAGTTTTGGGTAGGATGCGTGGACATGCTGGTTGCTGATATCGATGGAAAAATGCTGATAACTGAAGGAAAAGTGAAGGTGTATATTCTTAGTGTAAACACTTGTAATCATATAGTTGAGAGAAAAGTGAGAGGAAGATGAGGTTTCTGTTTACCGTCGACGACTGTATATTGCTGCTGGCTGCCTCAGGACAGGATAGGGACGGATTGGGAAGGAGCGCATCACAGTGACCGCGCACCGGGATTGCCATTGCGTTGCTCACTTTCTCTTCTTTCTCGATGCGAGGGCAACTTGGAAGACTGCCAACCATGATGAAGCTTCGGGACGGGCAATGTGGACCGATTTCCTGAGTTCTTGGTGGTTGTGGCTAACTGCCTTGCTTGTAGATGGCATAGCGGTGCTACTCATATTGTGGCTGCTGCTAAGCGGCGCAACTATCTGTTGCAGCTATAGTCCGTTTATTGGTATATAGACATACCCTGTTATTACTATAAGCACTGGCTAATTTTTCCTTGGTAGCTTCAATGCTGGTACCATCCGCACAGCCTCATATCTAACATGCCCTGATATTCATCATACATTTAAGGAGAACCCCAGAACTTCAAAGCATATTTGGCTAGGGATTCAGCCAAAAGCCCTAGGAGTATCAAGCTCTATCCAACTACAGGTCCGACTATACCCTTTCATCTAATCAGCACGCAGGAGTACCGCTCCACAAAACCCCCCAGCCAACCGCAGAAGGAAATCTATCCATATATCATCTACCTACTGGAAGTATACAGTAACATACACACATACACACATATTAAAAAGCTAGGGAACGCCCCCCGAGGGTCCCTTACTATCCACTCCAATCGTCTTCAAGAACGGCTCAATAATGGCCCGTTTGCGCTCCTCCAAGGCTCGTCGGTCTTTTTCCTTCGCGGGAACGGGTCCCTCCGTGGTGATCAGCACTGAGGCAAAGATCGTGGCCAGGGCGGTCTCAACCGCTTGGCGGCGCAAGGCCATCTGGGAGATGATCGGAGAGGGCTCGGAGACGGAAGAGTTGAAGGTGCGCGTTCGGCGCCGGAAGGCGTTGGCGGATATAAAGGATGGTGGGGCCGGTGGTTGCTCTTGCTTTTGCTCTTGCTGCTGCTGCTGCTGCTGCTGCTCTTGAGGGGTTGCTAAGTCTTTTGGCGAGTTCTCCAGAGATGTTGCGCTTCGGTTCTCGAGCGGTGGGGCTAAGATCTTTAGAGGGCCGTGGGTGGGGATGGATGATGCTGGGGCAACTTCGTTGGCGATACGGGCTAGCATGAAGGTTACGAAAGTGAAAGAGACGCTGTGGGCGGGGGAGTAGGCGAGGCTTTCCAGCACCCACGCTTGGGTTTCTTCCCACGACAAAGGCGGTGCGCGGGTTTTCTCGCGAGCGAGGATCTGTTGGTCTAGATTTTGCCAGACAGTGTTGGTCACGACGCCGTCTTTCAATGACCGAAGGAACACAAGTAGCGTTTCGCCGAGGATCTCGAGCCGATGAAGACAAGATACTTCGGGCGCGAAGGCGATGCTGAAATCTTTATTGGTGTCCAAAGCCTCGCGAGCGGCGGCCAGAAGTGAGAGACGCTCGTCCTTGTCACGTAAAGTCCATGTCTCAGGCTCAAAAGGCCAGCCATAGCCATAGGGCTCTTTGACCCACGGAGCTATGTCATCCTCTGAGTGGCCTCTTGTCATACTCCATTCAGCGACAGCTCGTTCAGTCATTTCAGAGATAGCCTCAGTCAGTCTGAATAGCTCGCGAGGAGCCGATAGAGGCACGGCCGAATTCCGTCGTTGCTCGGAGTTGTTGAGACTCCGCGCTCCCGCCTCGGGCATCATTGTGAGCTCTTCGAGCGAGCGGCCAAAGCAGGTAGGCAGCCATTTGCCGTACGCAGAAATGAAATGATCCCGCCCGTTCGTCACCCGGAGGACGAGGACTTCTTCCAGGCTGAATTGGTCCTGGTTTAATAACCGCACCAGCTGTACGTCTCGGACAAACGCCGTAACCTCAATGTTGGCGATCTCACCAGGGAGGAGAGTGCATTCGTTCGACGGCAGCTTCTTTTTCGAGTTTTCTTGTTCAGGATGGTGCACCCTGTACTCCAACCAAGGAGCAGACTTGTGGGTTTCATTCTGTTCCGGCTTCTCCAGAGAAAAGGTGGCGGATACACCGCTGGTATTGGCGACTGTCAAGGTCCGAGTGACGGGAACATCGAACGGCACATCTCCAAAATTCACGGCGTTGGGATCTTCGCTGGTGGGCTGGTTACCATGATGATCGACCACTACGGTGAGTCCAGGTCGAGACTCGTTTTCAACCTTGTCCAGTTCTCGAACCACTTCCTGGTGGATCTTGGCCTTTACTTGCGGATCCACGGACTCGAATGTCAAGGTGAATCCAGCCGCGAGAGGCTTATGGTCGGAGGAGAGTATCCCTTGATGAGATAAGTAGTAGTCTAACTGAAGAGACTCGTCGGCTTCGGCGGCAGACATGAAAGAGTCATCATCATTGGAATCCTTGTCGGGATCATATTCATCCCCACTGTCCGCTCCGTCAACATCTGGGTCATAATCGAATAAGACGTTGTCATCAGCAGCCGCCTTATCCAGACCCCTAGCCTTCATCTCCTCATCTCGCTTTCTAGCATCCTCGGATTCTTTGGCCAGCCGCTCAGACCTCAATTTGTCCTTGTGTGATCGGAAAAGAATCCGGTCGCACCAGCTGGGACCGCGATTTTTCTCACTCGAATCGAACCCGCCCACGCTGCCTACATCATACTTGTAGGTAGGCAGAAAGGTGATGGGACCTTCTCGCCAACCATCATGGAACGCCTTACGCTTTCCCTGCTGCATTGTGAGTTGGTCATGGGGCAGCAGAGATGATATCGTGGTCTGTAAAGAGGCAGGATCTGTATGGGGATTGATGTCGTCGTCCGAAACAGGCGAGTTAGAGCTGCGTCTTTTAGATGATCGCTGTTGCTCTCCTTCGTCTTTGGCTACTACTTGCGGTGATTCGGTACAATCACTGGTATTCACTCGTGTTTTGTGCCGCTTATCGTAGTCGTTCTCCGTGTGTCGAGCCAACACTCGACGCACATCATCCCCGGGTATGTCTTCCAGCCGGTAATTGAGATCTCCGAACCAGAAAGCGAAGTCCTCTTGCCCGATACTCTCGGCAGGGTCTTCACGAAGGCTCGCGATCGGATCAATGGGTTCGAAGCGAGTCCGTGTAACGATCTGCGAAGCATCCCAATTGCGCCGCTCCAGGCTGTTCTTATCGGACCCGGCGGCCAAGTGGCAGTTCACAAAGACAACGCATGTGGTTTCGCCGAGGACCAAGCGAGTCGCGACGGCGCCTTTGTTACCCATGTATCCTAAGAGCCCCGTACCCACAGTAGTGCAGCTCACGGACGATACCTGGTTGGCCAGGGAGGGGGAAGCATACACCAGCTGCAGCAATCCCACCAGTTGTGTCTCGGCAATAAGCTTATATCCCGGTGGCAAAGCCTTCTCAAGCGCCGCCTTCCATCTATTCGCCGGCGCTGGATCGACAAACGGTCTCAGCGCCTCCGCCGGCGACGAGACATCCACAATCTCCTGCAAGCCCAGAACGTAGAGGTCAATCTGGTCCGGCGCAGTCTCGGACAATGACTCTGTCTGCCCAGCGGAAGAGTTGTCCGTCTTATTCCCTCCCTGCGAGTCCTTAACCCGCAACCCAGATAATTGCTCGCATACCCCCTTCTGTTGCACGAACCAATTCCCGATGTCGTTCTCGGTGCCTGGAATGGCAGCCACGTTCCATGTGCCGACCTTGACTCGGATCGACTGCTGACGGGTGTACTCGGCCTTTCGCGCTTTGACAGCCTGCGGGAGCGAGGAGGGGTCGGTCTCTGGGGATGTTTCGTTATCGCCCGGAAATTCGCCGGAGATGTGTTGCTGCGATGGCGGTTGCAGGGCGGTGGAAGCCATGGTGTATGATTAAGGAAATAGTGTGCGCCCTCTCGTTCCACGGATATAGATCTATATAAAGGGTGGGCTCCGAGCGATGCGGGCGAATACGAGGTCACCGCGGACTGGCACGCGGCGCAACAGGTTGCACAAACGAAGAGGAGCTAGATGCGATAATTTGGAACATTAGGAAATGAACATCAGGCGACCATCAAGCGAGAGATCAGAGGTCGTTCTAAATCAAAACTGAGGTGTGGAACAGAGCGCTGGTGGCGAAGGCTGTAGCGAGCGAGAGCTGCGTGGACTACGTATAAGCCCGCGGGAGCGGCGGCTCTGGTTTGGTATAGACTGGGATGGGAGGCGCTCACATGCGGGAGAACAGTTCTGGAAAATCGATTCAAGGTCTGCAATCAGCTTCCACAAAGAATGATCGCACAACCCAGTGAAAGAGAGATAGGGTGGTGGGAGGACGGAGGTTTTGAGGTGGGAGGGTGAAGAAGGAGAAGGGGAAGAGGGAGAGGGCGGATGAATCAATGATGGAATGACATTCCAGGCCGCGGGGTGGTTTCCGACCGACCGACCGCTTCTCGGCCAGAGCTGAGCTTCTTCCCCTTCCTTTCCCTTTCTCTCTCCGCCGCAACTTCCTCAAATCGTCATCACTTCCACCTCACCCATTCACACCCTCCGTCTGTCTCTTTGACCTCACATTCCTTCTCTATACCGGCACTCTCACACAATGTCCGCTCGCAAACCCCGACGCGCCTACTCCAACCAGAGCACCAACAACATCAACAACCCGCGACACCATCAACACCACCCAAGCCAAAGCGGCTTCGCCCAACCCTCCGACTACGACTCCGACTACCAAACCTATCTCTCAGACACACAGCACCACCAACAACAGCAGCAGCAGCAGCAGCAGCAGCAACTTCCCATCCACCCTCACCCTCACCCTCAGCACCCCCCACAACAACACCAACAACAACAACAACCACTACTCCCAATGACAACCACCACGGCCCCCGCGCCGCCGCCCCTCCGCACCAACGAAGACCTCAACCTCTCCGTCCTCCGCCGCCACAACCCAACCATCACCTCGATCCTCTCGCTCGCGCAATACGCCGTCGTCTACATCTTCAGCCCCAGCACGCGCCAATGGGAGAAAAGCGGCGTAGAGGGGACGCTGTTCGTGTGCCAACGCTCGCAGGGCGAGCTGGGCGAAGAGCGCTACAGCGTCTTCGTGCTGAACCGCCGCGGGCTCCACAACTTCGACCTCCCGCTCACCGACGGCGACAACGTCGAGATCACCGAGGAGTATATAATCCTCAAGTCTGATCTCGCGCCGGAGGTGGTGGAGAATGCTTCCATCCCGGGCATGGGGCCGCCAGCGAATTCCACTGCTGCTGCGGCTGCTCCCGCTGCGAAGCCTTCGGGGACTGTTGGTGGGGGGGATATTCGGATCTACGGATTGTGGATCTACAGTGAACCGCCGCCGAATTCCACGGCCGAGACGCGCAGCATCAACGCGCAGATGATCCGCGAGTGTGCGGTGCATGCTGGGGAGAGCTTGAAGCTGGCCCGGGAGCGCGTGGAGGCGACGCGGCAGAATGGGATGCATGTGGCGGCAGCGACGGCGGCGGCGGCGGCTACGACGGGCGCCCCGTTGGAGGAGGTGAGCACCAGTGTGGCGATGGGGAGGCAGGTCTCGCTCAAGGATCTGTTTGGGCAGCAGCGCGCCCAGGATGATGGGTGGAGTGTGCGCGCGCATCAGATTGCGCCCGCCGATTGGCAGCATGCGCCTCCGCCTCCGTCGCAGCCGGGCCCAGGGTCGGGTCCTGCGCAGGCTCCTCCGGTTGGAGCTGGAGCTGTGCCGGCACTGCAGCAGGATGTCCTGGGGGATTTGTTTCGGAGGGCCGGGCTGGCGTATCAGGGGGGCCAGTGAGGTGTATATTTTGGGTGTGGATATGAGAGAGGATACCCTTGGATGATGGTGGTATGATTAGCGCATATAGAAGGTTTGGTGTGCATTGTTGAAAGACGTCCGTAGCCCTACCTCTATTACACAATGTCTCTATGTATTCAATGCCTCGATACTCCTTCCCCCATTCAACCCCCAATTCCCTAGGATATCCATCCCATCACCGCACAATCTCCCTAACCATCCCAGCAACCTTCTCCGCCATAACCTCACTATGCCCTACCCCATCATAACCAGTCAGCACACACCCCTCAAATCAACCCACATCCCCGCCCCAACAACAACCCCTCGGCGAGACCAAAACACCAAGACGGGGGGAAAGACTCACTCAAACAGAAAGCATGCGGCACCCCCTCCTCACAAACCACCATCGTCGGACCACTTCCCTCATCCCCACCCTTCGCACCACCACCACCACCACCACCACCACCACCCTTAGTCGTCCCATTCCCACTCCCCCGCAAAGCAATAATCTCCTCCCTCGTCTCCTCAGCCACCCAATGATCCCCGCGCCCATAGTAGAAGAACAACCTCGTCAATTCCTCCTTTTTCTTAGAGGTCGACGCAATCCCCCACACCTCGTCGGCCCACTCGTCCGAGTTGATGGTGTACATCTCCGAGGCGGCCATGTGTCTATCACCTGTCAGCGTCGCACAGAGAATGTACCCGTAAGACATAGGGTTTAGTTGGGTCATGATTTCGGATCTCACTGGACCCAAGCTCTTTAGGGAAGGAGGGCGAACGTACAAAGCCTGTCTTACCCCCCTCTTACTCGTTAGGAATCGACACGTCGTGTCCACAGCGTCGGGCGGCGGGGATCCCATCGCCAGACGCACGATTGTCCGGAGCAGGAAGGCCGGGAGGAGGGTCGTGAGGACCCGGGCGAAGAGGCTGGCGATGAGGGCTAGGTGGGGGAGGATAGTGAGAAGGGTCTGATTAGTGTGGGGATAGGTGAGGCGGTTAGTGGTTAGTTTCAAGTTATCATCGGGGAAAGTGGACAGGAGAGGATTGATTGGTTACGGAAAAGGAAGAGGTTTGGGGGCTTACGGTCAGTTTCCTCCCGGAGGGGGATTTCGCGATGTCGACGACGGTGGGGAAGAGGAGGATTCCGCTGGTGAGGGTGAAGGCGGGGTGGTTTCTGTCGGTTGAGGATGAGAAGGAGGAGGAGGAGGATGTTGACGCTGATGTTGATGTTGATGCTGATGCTGAGCATCGTTCGCGGTGGCGCCGGATGAGCTCCATAGCGATGTAGGTCCCCACGGAGTGGCCGATCAATATGACTCGGGGTCTGATTGTATCATCGTTGGCATGATTCAAGGCTGAGGTCTCCGATGCAACAACGCTATTCACGCAATCGTCCAGCTTGCGCTGCACGAAGCGGATCTGGTCTTCCAGGTCGTGATAGTGGGATGTGTTGTTATCGGACGGTGACGAAGACACCTCAAAGCCGGCGAGGCTGTGGCCGTAGAGGTGAAACCTGGGGCACGCATCGTCCTCGGAACTCCGGGCCTTCAATTTCTCGATCAGATGCGTGAAGAATGGGTAGTAGTATGATATCAAGCCAGGATTGCCGGAGATAAAGTAGATGATCACGGGGCTCCCAGACAAACTCCCGGAGGATTTCTTGTCGCACAAGGTGTGGAAGAAACTATCCGGGGTCATGTGAGGGTCAATTTCCGGGGACATGGCGCCTGAGTCAATCTCTAACGGCACGCTGAAGATCTCTGAATCATGCATGTCTACCTCAAACTTCAAGTCTGGAACATGCATCCTGTCTTCGTCGCTGCTTCGCCGCCGCGGGAGACGGCGGCGGATGTACTCTTTTCCCGCTAGCCGAGGATGTGATCGGCGCTGATATACATTATACACATACATTATTCTACAGTCGCAACCATCGCGGCGCCAGGACCAAGTTCACTTGACATTGCCCATGCAACGATATGTGCAATCAATGTCTTTTCGCAAATGCTATCCCCTCTTCAACCCCAGCCCTTACCATACCATACCGTCCAGTCCATCCAGCAAGCCTGACTCCGCCCCTGTCCAGAGCCCTCGAAATCCCGAATGATAAGTGAAGTGAAGAGAAAAAGTGCTATAAATGTACAATCATCTCGAACCGGACTGGTCAAAACAAGTCCGGCTTCTAAAAGGAAAGCCATCAAGGAACAAAGAGGGAATCGTACAGAAAGAATGCGTTCGGTCCATCGGTAACAATGCTAGAAAAAACGCATCACTTCATCTGGTATCTAGAAGGCTGTCGTAAAACAAACACGGAGTGTTCCGCAACTCTGACAAATGACAACACAACAATGAATGCAGGGAGACTTGGGCATTCACAACAAAAAGATCAGACGATTCTGAAAATCATGGAATCATCCACCTTGACTGTCATGGTTATCATCTCGGTTTTCCTTTTCGTTGCTCGTTTTGTCTACCGCGCTGTCAGTGGGCTTGACTGTTGCGGAGCTCAAATTAATCGCAATCCGTTTTGGTGCTGCGCTGGTAGTCGTATTGCCCAAAGCCGACCCTTTCTCGTTGGATGAAAGAGAGCCAATAGACACGCTTCGTTTCCGGCGCAGAAGCCCTGCACTCCCAGATCCCGCATTGACTGAGCTTCGTCGTTTGGGGCCCGTTGTAAGCTTCATCAATTCGTCATCATCTTCCTCTTCGCGTCGGCGCTTCTCCGACAATCTTTCGGGTGGGGTCTGTATCGTCAACGAGACGGGCGTGGACGGTGCCTCCTCCAATGACTCCATGGTAGTGTCTCGACTGGGGTCCTCCTGTGATGCCGATTCTTGCTTTGGTTGCGTCTGGTCTTCAATCTTGGTATCCATCGCGTCATCTTCGTCGTCATCATCTGGATAGTCAACTAGGGGCTTGACTACGGGCGATGCTGCGCCGTTCTGCGGGTGTGCAGAAATTGCTGTGTTCTGTTGGGGATCCTGCTGCCACTATAGAACATGGTTAGTACTTCAGTCTGTCTGTTTCCTGGCTGATGCAACATACCTCTTCTTCATCATCCGAAGTGTTGAAGTATTCTTCTTCGGCAGCGTCCATTTCCTTGACCCCTTGCCAGCGCGACCCATTGGCTTGCATCCGCTGACCCGGCAATTCTTCCTCCTGGGAGTATAGAGTAGAGTCCGCCTCCTCTGCGCCGTAGCCCTGTAATTGCTCGTAGCGTAAGTACAGGGTTTGGAACGTGTCCACGTAGGTGATGTTCTTGATCTGCTCGCCATATTTCTCCACCAGATGAAGAACGATGGGTTTGATATTTTCGCGCTTGATGTACTCGAAGAGTTCAAGGCAGGCCGAGTTCAGAAGGTTGTCACGAGGCATAGACTGGTAGACGATATCAAGGATCAGACCAAACGTGTTGTTGCGGGTCATCATAGCTTGGTAGAAGGTATCTTGAAGACTAATTAAAGTGCGAAAGAACTTCAAGGCAGCTGAGGAGAATGGGAAGTTAGTTTCTAGCAGACCAACACAACTATCGCAGCGACCTACTCAGTTTGAGATGCTTCTGGGGCACGGTGAGTAACTGAGCGACCCGAGGAGCGAGCGACTCGTCATGGATAACATTGCGAGAACGGTATAAATGCTGGCGCACGAAAAATGTAAGAATATCGACAAGATGCGAATACAGCGTTACATCTTGGAATGTGAGGTCATTCACTGCGAAAGGTGGCGCCATGATCAGCAAACATCAAACGATGGCTTAAAGTAGCAAAACTCACGATTATCGCTATTTTCGAGTCGCTTCAGAGGCCAGAATAGCCTCCTTGCAGACCCGTCGAAATGGTTCTGGACAAATGTATCCGAAAAGATATTGGAACGCGGCTTGTTGAAGTGCTCGGGTCCAGCCCGAGCCATGGCGTCCGGCATTGGGATTTGTGGATCTAGCAGGACCTTGATCGCATCGGCAAGCTGATTCTTTACTCCGAGGTCGGTTTCCGTGTGCAGCAGGTCGATCAAAGTATCTGTAAGGGGCGTTTTCTTCTCGCTGACGGCCTTTAGCATGTATCCGCGCATCATGATCTGATCGTGGTCGAGGAGAGACACCAGAAGATCGATGCCTGTCGTGCGCAGTGGCGGCTTTGGATGTTTGATGGCAAATGCGATCACAGCGAAAAGGCCATGATTGATGAAATTGGCAAAGAGATTCGCACGCGCCGGCGCTTGCAAGTTCTTTGCGATGACCGCGCATTGATGAAGGAATTGGACCGCGTCCTCCTTGCGCTTGTTGTCGGCGTTTCTGGGGTCGAAGACTGTAAAGAGTTCCTTCAAGAACTGCGCGTTGGATTGTATATGGTTAACGATTTCCACCTGGTTGAAGAAGATCAAGGAGTTTAGCACTGAAAACGTAGGATCATCTAGGATCCTAGCCAGAACCACGTCTTTGAGGTACTGTAAGCGCCAGGTGTATCGGATCTTGCGACGAATGAGAGGGTCCTTGATAGGGACCACTTCTTTGTAACGCGTCTGGTCTGCGAGGTACTGGCGATGGTTGGCCTTGTGGGCAGGGAACTCGGGGTCGTCTACAGCCCATTAGCGATTTCCTCAGCGCAAGACACTGCCATCGGGATTCATACATTCCAATGCCCCCACAACACCCAGAATGACGGGGTCTGTGACCACGGTTTCGATGATCGTGTTGTCATTGAGTAAGATCAGCGACTTCATGATATTGCAAAGGCGATGTAGATCCGGAAGGCTTTCGAGGTCTTCCGCCATCGAGACCAGAGGAATCAATTTCGGGATATACTCATCACGAATGACCAATTTGGAAAGAGCATCGCGGCCGGCTTGAGTTATGCTCGAGGTCCTCATGATGTGATCGATTTCGGGAAGGTTGCCTAGCTCGGGCGCCGGCAGCATAATCGACTGGTAGCTCTCGATCTCATCGGACAAGGCATCTTCTAGGCACAAGGAATGACCAGGTCAGCAAAATATCCTATCATCAGCTATCGCCGCAGCGTAGCCCGGAGATGGGAGAAAATCTAACCTCCCGGCGCCAAACTGAGTAGATGTTGCTGCACGTTGTTGACAAAATCCCTTCAGAGGCTCAGTCAGTCTTCGGCTTGACTCATTTCCACCCCGTTCCGAGCTGGGCTCGATGCGCCTTACCAAATGACCGCGCAGCCTTCGGCTTCCTGAAAACTGAGTGCCATGTCCGTTCCATTGGGCTCTGTCCATACAATCAATGTCTCTGATGGGGTCGCGTGATGGTCAGTGATAGTTCTTGTACGACTTGTCGCGTGCGCAATGGGCGGGAAGCGCGCAGGAGGGGTGGCACCTTGTTGCTTCTGGTATCCATCATCCTTGGAGATCTTGGTCTCCAGCAGCACCCGGTTGGGTTCATCTTCCGACTCGACGAATATCCGCGGCTCATCCTAACCATGGTGTGGACTGGTTAGCGATGGAATCTTTCATGGGAGCGACAACGCGCGCGCCCGACGGCGATGGTGCGTTTGCGCCCGACGAGCGGGCGACGCAGCCGTCGCGCGGCGGACAGCAGGTGAAAGGGACACAACTCACATCCAGGATCTGACCGGTGCAGAAGCCGGTGCCTCGATCGAACCAGTCATTATCTCTCAGTTCATAGACCTTCACCCGCTTGCGATCGCTGGGTGGTTGCACCTCCAACGCCATGGTCCGGCAAAACGGAGAGGTGGCGTCTCGTCACTCCGGGACAACTCAGGAACGAGTGTTCCGGCGCGAGGAGAGCCCCAACGGAAGGGAAGGCGGAGAGAAAGATAAGAAAAGACCGCGGCTTGGTCCAGATTGGACGGAGGATGTGCGGAAGGGAAGGGAAGGGAAAGAAGTGGGGAATGGGAGGAAAAAGCGGGAAAGGTTAAAAAAGGGAGAAAGAAGGGAGAAGGGAGGAATGATGATGTGGATGTGTGGATGTGATATGATGTGATAATCCGGTCAGGTGGAGGGGGAGAAGAGGAAGAGAAGAAAGGGAAGAGGAGACGGAGAGAGGAGGGGAGGGGGAGGAAAGGCGAAGAGGATGGAAACAAGCAAACGATGAGTACAGACAGAGAAGGAGGTTAAGGAGAGGTGTTGTATTGTAATGTAGGAGGAAAGGATAAGAGAGACGTGTAGGAGAGAAAAATGATGTAAAAGGGAAAAAAAGTGACAGGCAAAAAAAATAAAGATAGTAGCAGTGGCAGGCTGCTTGCTGCTGCTGCTGCTGCTGCTGCTTGCTGCTTGCTTCCCTCACAGCTTGGACAGTACAGTACTTGTGCCTATGCTTCTGCTTCTGCTTCTGCTTCTGCTTGTTCTTAGATGATGAATGAGGATCATTCCTGGCATGGGGTTCGGGACCACCTGACGGCCTCGGCAGCTGTCTGTCTGTCTGTCTGTCTGCCTACCTATCTGCCTATCTGTCTCGGACAAGGGAAAGAAAATGAACCGGACAACAACAGCACGCGACCGTACTGAACAACACTACCTAAGGAATTGAAATTGCTCAACAAATCGGAACCTTATCAGAGCTAAGCTGGACAGGACAACGTCCGATATACGGCAACCCACCAACAGCCAGCCAGCAGTACATGAATGAGTAAGTCCAGGTGGAGTACAGTACTACTCGTATGAAGGGCCAGCTCGGGGATCTGCAGCGAAAGCGGAGCGAGCAATTGAAGACTTGAAACCTTTCCGTCTACACCGGACCATAGCTATTCATATTAACTTATCTGACTGTTCATCAGTTCCTCAATCAACAAGGGTCTTGCCGATGACGTGCGCGTCCCCGGAACGGTTTCAGGCCAGCCCTGAGGTTTCAGGATAAGAATAGCCCACCAGCCGCTAGATTTACAGCAGGATGCTTCTTCTTGTCCCATGTGGAGGGATGTGATATTGAGTAAATTGATTTGTGGTTATTGGACTGTACTCCGTAGTCAGTCAGTCGGTCGGGCAGTCCCAAGGGGTGGAATGGCCAGAAGGAGAGGAAGACCAGAAAGGTTCTAGCCCCGTCACTCATTGTTCCCCCCCCCCCTATTGTCAAGTAATTGAATTGTTCTATAATTGTTCCATAAGGTACAGTACTAACAAGAAGAGTGTGTGTCCGCAACTGTAATCATCATCCCGGGACCCCACGCATTCAATATCCATGGAACCTTGGAGTGGATATGTAATAAGCTACTTCAGCCTCAGAACGGACGATCTCCAACGTTAGGGAAGCACAAGATTCGCATTCATTGTTATCGCCTCCCTCCGGAGATCATTCCGCCTCTCTCCACCGTCGGCCATGATTCCTCTCGATTGTTGATAGAGACGGAACAAGACCTAAGGTAGGTCGGTGCTCCTACTCAGTTGGGCAGCGACCAGTTCAAGCTTGACCCGGGACCGCCTGAAGATGGTTGCACTACCGATACGGATCATTGCGCCTGTGCTCCCCTTGGTCAATAGATGAACCAAGGGGAGGATGGGTCATGTGGGGGATGCTGCGTCACCAAACATGCTCGACTCTTTACATTTGAATCATGTTGAAGCAAGTCCGTCATGAGTGCGGTTATCAGTGGGCGGATCGGATCATCTTCCAGAAGAATGGTAAAATGGATGAATGAATGAATGCTAACTGACGGAGGACAGGCCCGAGTTGGAGTCCCGATGAGATCATCGCGCAAAGCCTAATTCTGGGTGCCTGGGGCAGCCAGTGTGGCAAGATGCATGTGACCATAGTCGAATTTATTCTGTGTTGACCAATGAAGCTTGTTAAATCAGCTATACTTCGATACAGTGATACAGGTACGTATACAGTCTACTCATGTTGAATGGGTAGTCAACTAGGAAAATTAGGTGCCTACTACCATGCAACATACATACTACCGGTAACTTATATGCCGGAACCCTACGTATTTATATACTAACTCCCTTTCCCCCCTGTAAGGCAAGAAAAAGAAAGTGGATGTTCCGTGCAGGGACGCTAAGATCGGTGCATTGATGCGGAGGTGGCACTCAGACATCTACCTAAAACCGCTGCAATGTGTACGAGAGATCTCTCATTAGCATCAGATCGCTATTCTTATCGTGGCCACTCCTTGGTAGTCGGTGTGTTCCAGACTGCTACCTGCTACCTGCTAAGCGTTGGATGATCCCTGATAGCCGCCGCGGGCGACGCGGGTCAGCTCCCTTATCGGGCCCGAGCGGTAGGGATCATGGATCCACTTGAAGGATATGATCCGTGATTGGCTGTGAAGCACATGACGGGCGGGCGGATCTGATTCAGTTGGCGATTACATAATCTATAATCGAAAGTGTCTCCGCTTTCCAGTTGGTTTCCTCGTGACTATCTCCAGCTTCACATCTCCAAATCAGCCGGCCGTTGGGTCTGATATACCCACTACCATCCGCGAGCGACTTCGGGAGCTTTGCGCTCGTGCGGGTTGGAAAGCTCCCGTCGGTGTGTCGTTACTCCAGTCATTTTTAGAGACGTCGGTTGCAGCAGCCATGACGCATTCTGCTGTGTCCCATGGCACAGACGATGCTGGGGCTGGCCCATCGTCCACGGGCACCGATCTCGGTCGTGCCCATATACCACCACCCTTCAAGTCCGATGCCTCCGCTACCTATGATGTATATCCTACCGCGACGGACGGTAGCACCGACGAAGACTCGGAACCCGCAACAACAGCAAACCATCCCACCAACAAACAGCAAAGCCTGCTCGCCTACCTGACCACCCGAGAATTCTACATCACCCTTCTCCTCGGGTAAGACCGTATACACCACCGTCCTTACCTCCTATCTAACCACTGAATTCTCCAACAGTCAAATCCTCGCCATCACCAATACAGCCTGCAGCACCTTCAGCACCCTCCTCGCCGACCGCGGCGTCTCCCTCCCGGCCACGCAGACCTTCTTCAACTACCTCCTGCTGACCGTGATCTTCACCACCTACACAATCCACCGCCACGGCCTCCATGGCTGGACCCGGAGTTTTCGGACTCGTGGTTGGAAATGTATGATATGTCCCCAGCTGAGTCCCAGCCACGATCTCCCCGTCCCCATCCATGATCACCCTCTCCCCGTCCTCCTCCTCCTCCTCCCCTTCCTCCTCCCACAAACTAACCCGCAAGAAAACCAGACCTCCTCCTCTCCCTCTTCGACGTGGAAGGCAACTACTTCCTCGTGCTCGCCTACCGCAACACGACCCTCCTCAGCGCCCAACTAATCAACTTCTGGGCCATCGCCATCGTAGTGCTAATCTCCTCCACCATCCTCGGCGTGCACTACCAGCGACCGCAACTCGTCGGGATCTGCATCTGCATCACCGGGATGCTCCTCCTCCTGCTCACCGACCGCACCCCGACCACCCCTTCTGCCCGGAACAAACTCCTCGGCGACCTCTCCGCCCTCGCCGGCGCCACCAGCTACGGCCTGGCCAACGTCCTCGAAGAGGTGCTGGTGACCACCGCCCCGATTTATGAAGTGCTGAGCCAGATGGCGTTCTCGGGGAGCTGCATCACCGCGCTGCAGGCCGTGGCGCTGGGGGAGCTGGCCACTCTGGGTAGTGTAACCGTACTGGATGGGCGGGTCCTCGGACCCTGGGCCGCGTATACGCTCTGCCTCGCCGGGTTCTATTGTCTGGTGCCGCTGCTGCTGCGGCGCGCGTCCGCCGCGTTCTTCAACCTCTCCATGCTGACTATGAACTGCTGGGGCGTCGTGGTCGGCGTGCTGGTCTTTCGGTACCCCGTGGTGGGATGGGGGTATCCCGTGGCATTCGGGTTGATTGTTGCCGGCCAGGGGGTGTACTTTCTCGGGGCCGGGGAGGGAGCCACAAGTGGTGTGGTCGGGGGCAAGAAGCCGTGGGTGAGATCCCGCGCTGGGTCTGGTGGTGGAAGCGGGCTGAGGAAAACACGATCGGAGGCTTCGGAGGAGGATCCGTTGCTGTTGCGCCGGGAACAACAGGAGGAAGTTTCGGTGGTGTGAGGATGGGTCGAGGTAGGTTCGGAGTCGGGGTTCTGGGCGCTGGGATAGCCTGGCTGCTTGAGTGAGATGTCTCAGGACGGGACTGGGGGGAGGGTTATACGTATATATGACTGGACGACCGCGACGAGCTTTTTGATTATATAGATGACGATATGCGAGCATGATAGACTAGATTATGAGACCAAGTTAGATATTGAGCTACGTGGGGTAACTTCTTAGAGGAATATTGATGTGATACACCTTTATTTGTTAACCTATTGACCACAGGTCACCGGGTGCACATCCACACCGAGGTTGACGACAAGAGGGTGGCCGGCATCCGTATACGCAAGCAGTCAAGACGGAAACTTGAGTGAAGCCATTCTCGGAAGAAATTCGATACAAGCACAGAGAACCATATCGAGGGAACCAGAAGTAGATTCTACAGCAGCAGTATATCACCCCGCCCGCCAACAACTTCAGTGAAGAGTATCCCATCCACAAACCCCCCTCCCCAAGTCAGGTTAATACGATAGACATCCAAGGGCCTAGACACCTGAAGCATACATCACGACGAAAATTATACCGTATGACAGAACACAAATAGAAATAAATGTAAACCATAAACCTATCGACGAACAGAGCCACAAATTCATAACATACGACAATCCAGAAAACCTCGGCAGATCAACAGACTCCAAACAGCTCTTTTGATAATGTTTGCCCTGCTCCCCAGTATTCCTTTTGCCATTGCCATTGCCAGAAAAAACCAACAACACAGAACAACCAGACTGAAAAAAAAACCCCTTTTCGTACCCAGATAATCGAAAGGAAGACAAACACCCCATGACAAAATGACCCAACATGCTATCGGCCAAACTCACAATCACAACCAGACCCGAACAAGAAAACAAACACCTGGAAACCCCCAGAGATGAGCGGGAAACAAGAGCCCGAGAAAACATACACCCCCACAACCAAACAAGGTAGATACAATCACCCCAAAAGACCCCAACCCCTGAAGTAGTGGTGGATCGATAAATTGGCGCCCAGTGAAGCGACAACCCATGATCATGACCAACAGATGCGACACCGACAAAAACAAGAAACCCTAACATGATGCCACATAACACAAAAGGGAATACCGACTCCAGAAACCAACAGGCCAATCCCAAAGTTCCCTAGTCAGTAGAACCAACCATGTACCGAATTAAACTGACTGTCCACAGGTGACCGAGCGCTAGATAAAAATAAGAATCAAGAGGTGTGCGTGCGACCCACTTCTTTCAGATATGTACCATGCTCTTTCCCAATAGTCGAATCAAAGATATGTCCCTCTCTTAGAACGCCACAGTACAAAAGCGAACACCCGTCCAAAAGGAATAATGTTGTTAGAATCGAACCAGAGCTGGTGGCGGTCGCTTAGCCCCAGACAGAGGCCTGCACGCCCAAGCCGTTCTTCGATCCCCACACGCCACTGCCGTTACCCCAGCCCAGGGAGACACCACCGCCCGTGGTGTCCTTGACGCCGGCGGTCGCGGCGGCGGCGGTCGAGGCATTGGAAACCGACGAAGCACGCTCGCCGGTAGTAGCATCACTCGAGGTGAAGCCGAATCCCAGGGGAGACGGAAGGGGGGTCGTGGAACGCTTGTTCAGGGCTGGATTGGAAGCCTGGCCGGTACCGGTCTGTTGAAGAGGCCGGCTGCCAATGGGTCCCACAGAGCCGATGGGTCCGGTCGCCGACTTGGTCGATGCCTGTCTCGAGGAGGGAGAATCGGCGCCACCGGGAGACGAGGTAGAAGTTCCGGGCTGATCGGCAGTCTCGTACTTGCCAAAGACAGGGTTAATGCCGGAGCTGGGAGAAGAGGCGCTGTTGGCGCGCGAGGGTGACTGGAGGGAGGCAGCGGCGGCGGCGGCGGCGGCAGCAGCCTGAGACACGCCATCCACACTCCCTTGGACGGGAGTCTGCGCTAAGCCAAAGGGGTCGGCACCGCGGGGAGACGGGCCACGAACTCCGGTGGCAGAAGTCGGGGTACCACCGGCCTGGCTGTCGGAACGAGGGTTCTCATCGGTCAAGGTTCCAGGGGGGAAGAAGGCGGGGCTGTCGTTGCCGTACAGGGCCCTATGCTGACGAGCCAGAAGCTCGCGGCGACTTTCCTCGCTCATGGCGGCTGGGCTGAGCGAGCGATCGGACTTGGTTCCAGACATTTCGGCAAGCAGGCCTTTGAGAGAAGCAGAAGAATTAAAACCATGTTCAAAAACTGGAACCATGTCCCAATGTAATATACAAGCCAGCGAATACACATATGGGCAGAGAAGATCATGGGGGGAATAGTGGAGGAAATGCGGGCGAGGAAGAAAGAGAGAGGCTCCAAAGACAAATGCTACCACGTACTTCGGTTGTACTGTTGCTCCTGGTGATAGTTGCGGAGCTCCCTCTCACGCTGTGCTGCCATCCGACGCTTCGCTTGCATCATCTGCTCCACTTCATTGGGACGACCCTGGAATCGTTGCGAGGCATAGAAGCCCTGGAGGGAGGGATTCGGGTGCATCCGAGAATCGAACTCGCCGATCGAGTGATGACGCTGCGAGACCGCACCGGCCATGCGGGGATCTAACACAGTACTGTTCAGAATGGGCTAACTTCTAGTAGGGTGTATTCATGGAATCCTACCGTAGTCGGGGTACGGGCGACCCATCATCATTGGCATCGAATCCCTCCGGGGCGCGGCCCAGAGCTTTCCGCTCTTGACGAGATTGTCAATCGCACGGTCGACCTCTGTTAGAAGTCAGCACCACTCTTTCCACTTTCTCTCCCCTTTTGCAAACAGAGATTCCACTGTGTCTGCAGACCGCAAAAGAACCCTTCTGCAGTAGGAAATGTGCGTACCATCGAACTGAGAAGAGAAGGCCGGGATTTCATCGCGCTGAGAGACGGAGCTTGATCCTGCAAGAGAGCACCGGTGTAAGCCTCGCTGAATTCCTGCCGGAAAAAAAAATCGTTGAATGGCCTGTCAACCATACCTGATCGCGACGGGGGAGCCGGCTGTTCCCAGGAGGCCTGGCGCGTAGGAGGGGCTTGCCAGCCCTGGGCCTCGTAGTAGGACGCCATTATTTAGTTGATTTGGGGACCGCGACGGACGGAACGGACGGCGTGAAGCGGAACGAAAGATTGGCGCTTGGAGGCAATCAGGAGAGGCCTGTGTGAAGGATATGAATGAGCATGAGGTCCAGAACACCTAAGCAGCGCAGCCAGTGCATTGACAAGTAATTGCAGACGACAGAGAGATAGGCGGATGAGGACGGGGCGAAAGTCCAAATAAACGGGCCAGGTGTCCGAGTCACCGCACCGGGCAGATAAAAATAAGAAAAAAGGCGGGATGGCGACCAGCAATGACATCGACCGGGAAAGTTATTCTTAGATCCCTCGGAATGACCCTTTCCCAAGTATCAAACAAACATCAAACTTTTCTTTCGAGTCTCTCCAGCATGACATCCTCGGAAATCATTTGATCTTTCGCATTGCGGATACGACAAGCGGACATGGAGTGAAGGGGTCGACATCTTGGATCTGGCCGAATTGGACGAAAGGTGTAGTCGATGAGGTGTGGTGAATTTTCCCATTGACTGTCTTGTGGACGGGCGGACAAAAAAAGAAAAGACAAGACATTGTGCTTCGGGAGTGTCAGGCAAGGGGACTGACTGTATGGTTACTCACAGCAAAAGGAGTGAATGCACTCTCAATAGGATCTACCACGAGTGAACGAGGCAGAACGGGCAAGCAGTGACCGACAGCAACTTCTCACCCTTCAGGCACGACAGACAGATTAAGTCTGGCGTGAGAGAAATGAAGAGGGTTGGAGAAGGCGGGGGGGGGGGGGAGAGAGTGGGTGGATGAGGGAATTAAGGACGGAGGATAGAGTGGAGGGGGAGAAGGAAAAGGGAAAGGGAAAGGGAAGGGGAAGGAAAAGATCGGGTAGCAGAGGAGAAATGCAATCGTCCCAAACCGAGAAGAGAGAGAGGGAGAAGAGGACCGGGGGAGAGAGGGAGGGGGGAGGCTTGAGGAGGGGACGGGGAGAAAAAAAAAAAGAGTCTCAAGACCGAGAAACGGAGAGAGAGCGAGAGGGAAAGCAGGTAGGCTGAGAGGGTGAGAGGGGGCAACGGAAAGGAAGCGAGCAAAAGACGTGGATTCTGTTTTTTTCCTTGACCGGGGATAAGAAAGAAAATCAGACTGAGAGGAGAGGAGGACAAGCGGCAGCAACAGCAGCAGCAGCAGCAGGACTTTTCTCCGCTGTAGCCAAAATAATAATAAATTGCACTACTAATACTGGTAGGTAATGATTACTAGGTATACACCATGGAGACCATAACTCCAACCAAGCCAAGGACTCGGTCACTGACAGAGTACTTTTTTCCACAAGAACAGCACCGTATGTGTCTGTCTGTCTATCAATATCACATTTTCCTTTCCCAGGACAGGCGCACTGCATCACAAGGAGAAATAAATATATCAGAAAACAAAATCCGATGGGAGCATACCCTCTGCACCATTCTCATCTTGCTCTTGATTATGTTTATCTTACTTGTTTGTGAAGACCGCCGGCGTCTCCGTGGAGTCCGGAGTAAGAGAAGAAAAAAATAAAAATAAAAAATAAAAAAGAAAGGGTGGACATCGGATGGATTTGAGTGGATGTGGTTGGTAGAGGAGATTCGGGTTGTTGAATCGCTGGCTGCCCTCCCGATCCGAGAAATTTCTTCTCTCGCTGGCTCTTCCGTCTTCACGATTACCCTAACCATAGGTTACTTCACTCGCAACTCGACTCTTCAAATGCCATCTAATCCTGAATCCAGTCCTTGCTCTATATTAAACAAACAAAAAGTTCTCTGAAATAGTCGACGGTTATCAGATCCCACCGTGTCAAAATGTTTCATCGGTGACAGGCAAGTATCCGTACGATAATGACCTGATTAGGGGGGTCCCACATGTAATCTCCAATACGATACGCCCGCACGCACACGCAGTAGGTTGAGACTATCCGACATGGGGCTTGTGTTCGACCGGTCAGCAGCCCATCCCTCATCATCATCAACATCACCTGGGTTTTGGATGCAAGTCAGCAATTGATTTCTTGCACTGGGATAAGCCCACCAGCCAGAGTTGTCAACACAAATCCCAAGATGCCAACGAGTTCATCGCTACAGTCTTAATTAAGCACCATGGCTTGAAACAATCCATCTCCCCTGTCGCATCGCATCGCATCCGAACAGAAACCCTGATTTTCCGAGAATCAGTCCAATGCACAATGGCGTATGCACGGAGTTTGCCCTCTAACTGACTGACTGACGGACTGACGGACGGACTTGCTCCAAGTACAGACAGACACTGGAGTAGCCGGTAGCCGGAAGAGGGGAGGGGAGGCAAGCACCTTGCCAGAGTGAAAAAGCACTGGGCAGCGCGGCCTTGTAATCAATCCTGTGTCTTTCTCTTAGCGTCGGCCCGTCAACCTTTTCTTTGCAGAGCTGTCCCACCCTCCTCTTTCTGTTCATTTGGACGGTGGGAGAAACCAGCATGCGCTGTTGACAACCTGATTATGCTGCCACGGAGGAGAGCATGAAGCAGACAGGCAAGAATTCAAATCCTCCATGAAGAATCTGTTATCATCCCAACTTCTCGAACCACGGCTAGGCCCTACTTGAATCTAGATAGTTCTAAACCGAATTACTACCCGTGCAGGCAATCTCGAAGCCCCCTTTCCCGCACCCCTGGGGAGGTCTAGATGACGGCAGTAGTATTATCATCGTACCACGCCTACGACTCCGAAGTCTGGGCACGGGCAGAAACCATGATCATAATTCTAGGCAAGGACTGTACTGTACACTGATACCGGGATAGCAAGATCATACGTGAGATAGAAACCTTGAATTACCCGACCAACTAGATCTAGTACTGTACTGTATAGTCCTACGTATGCTGGGCACTGCGTTGCTCGACGATTTATGCTTGTCTTGCCCTTCGGCATTTCTGATCAGAAAGAAAGCCTGGATGATTGCGCCAAGCCGTTGTTGAACGGGCCTCAAATCATATCTTCCTCGTGGGGATTAAATTAGATGCTGGCTGGCTAATCCTCTTTGGGTTGCCTCTCCTTGCGGGTAACTGTTTCTTCGCGGCAGCGGCAGTACGGAAGTAGTAGATGGTCGAGTCATGGCTGTCTCTCTGGGTCCTCACCTTGTGTACTCAGTCAGTACTTTGGGGTCTGATTCTCACTATTTGTTGCAATGTTGCGAATGTTGCATTGAGAAATGATGCCATTCATATGCCTCCCCCTAAAACGGTGGTTTGTTGTTGTTACGTGTGGGCCCTCTTCAAGACGCTTATTTCTGCTTGTTTTCGAGGGGCATCTACGGCAACAACAACAACAACAACAACAACAACAACAACAACAACAACAACAAGGCTAACCTACTGCTCGTGTCGACAGCCACTAACTGCCTGCAACTGCCGGGAGATCCATGATTTACCTTACTTGTCCATCCACTTTCCAGAATGTAGGCGGCAACACAGCTCGTGCTGTATGTAGTCTAGAATAGATTTTTTAAGATCCAGAATGGCCGGGGTGGGGGCAACAGCGCAGGACAAGGTGGGAGAAACCGTGATGCATAAAGTAACACTCAGACCCTTCCCTGCACCCGCTTGGGGAAGGGCGCAGAAAATTCAAGTTGAGGAAAAGGAGGGGTGCAGAAAGGATAGGGGGAAGAAAGAAGCGAAGAAGGAGGGGGAAAAGAAGTCTCGAATCACAAGATGGGCTTCTTATGCATCGTCATCGTGCTTCATGTGGCTTGAAATGACCATGTATGTCTTCCGAAGGAGGCAAATCCAGGTTTGTGGAGGGATCAGATGGGCTACCACGCAGGCTGTCGGCCTGTCTGCAAGTGTTAACCCGTTAGTGGGATGGGGGATGGGGTTTCTGCGAACAGTCGACGAGCCCATGCAGCCTTGTCTCCTCATCTGATTGATCTTCGGATCACACGCTCGGATTTTTCTTATTTTTGTTTCATCAAGCTGCAGGTCGCAAGAGGGTATTGGGTGTGAGACTCGCGATTGTCTCAGGGTAGTAAATCCGTGAGCCAGAGAGAGAGAGAGAGAGACATATTGTTCTACAGTACAGTATGTTTATACATCGATGCATTGCTTAAAATGTACTGCAGCGACCCGATCCACTACTACACACTTTACCTTATACTTCGCCTTGCCGCCGCCCTATCACGTTGAAACCCCCCATCCGCAATCCGTGACTTTTCCCTTCCCCCCTCCCCTCCCCCCGCGGCCATGCTTACTTGCAGAAACAATGACCTCTGTGGCTGATCATCCCTCGGGTTCGTGGGCAGGTCGGATCCTTCTGGAGGCTGCGTGCGTTTTCTTACTAACAATACTCACGTTACTACGGACTTTGTATCGTCTCCCAGTGTTCACGAGTGGTAGTTATGCTACCGTGATGAACTTTCAGACCAGGATTGATTAAATCACATATCAGCAACGGTCGCCGGCAGTCTGGTTCTCTCCTCTCGATGGTCGATGGATCGTCGTAGAAACATTCCGAGGGTTCCTCATCTTCTTTGTACTCGACATACCTCTGTTAGAACCACACAACACACCCTATACTTCGGATCCCCGGTTGGTCGATTGACCAACCCCCTTTCTTATTAAAATTCCTTTCCTTTCACCGGCTGAATCGGGTCAAGGGCTAACAGGGTCAACTCAAGCCCATGGTTTCAAACCATGTTCCGGCCATGTGTTCCCCAATATGACAGGTTGGAGCTATGGGAGGGAAGCAATGTACTGCTAGGTAGACTCAGTGCTTAACTGCCTTTGAAAGGGAGGCTAGATTGAGTCGGAAAGGTTGGCACCGATTCCTCTGGACTGGATTGGCCCTGAACTCGACCATTGTTGGTTTCGGGTTGAGTATGGGGTCCCCCCTAAAATAGCGATCTTGGGTTTTGTCGTCGGTTGACATTCATCAACCTTGAAGATGGGATGCAGGTATAGTGCTGGTGCTATAGAAGTTGTCGGATGTAGTATATATTATATGTTTCGGAGATGAGGAAGAGTTGTGACATCCTGCCCCCTCCGCCGCCTCGACAGTGACGACTATTAACCCAATTTAAGCGTTATCAATAATAGTTTGTCTCTCAGGCCGCCCGTCGTGAAGCACAGAGACTCCAGTAAAGTCAGAGGAAACAGGTGGGCCAAAGCTAGGCCTGAAATACTTTATTAACCAGCCGGTCACGGCGCCCCGTCACACGTGCCGCATTGGTTCGGACCTAGGGCCGAGACAAATCACTTTCAGGAAACGCGGGGCAGGCGAAGAGGGCAAGAAAAAAGGGGGGAAGGGAAAAGGGTTTCTCGCTTTCTCACAATGGAAGAACAAAAAAAGCTAAATGGGCATTCAATGACTGGAATGAAAGCAGGGATATAGAAAGGAGGAATGCAACAGCAACGGCGGCGGCGGAGGAGGCGACGTTGGCGGCGCTGAAAGTTTTGTTGGATCTACTACGGAGACTCCGTACTCTTCTTCTTCCAATAGCTGGTTGGGAGAGGGGGGAGTGATTGTTCTTGATGCCTTTTACTGCTGCGGAACAGGAATTCAATAGCACCCCCGATGATCGACACAAAGAATCGATGATTAAGCGGGCGAGAGGATCGTAGCTTCCATCTAGATCCCTCGATTCGACAGGTGTGTCGGAATCGGCGCGTTTGGATTCAATAAAGCTAATTCTTCCTCTGATCACTCCTATCGCAAGGTGGGTTTTGTGGGAATCGCTGGGGCTGAAGGCATGGGGCAGGACATTTATCCATGCCAACCAATGTATGCAAGTCGCGGAGAAATGCATGTCTATTGAATGTGACAGGGTGGAGGGAGCTCCGCGCCAGTGATTCGCAGGACTTTGCCGCATTGGTTGCGGCAGTTGAGGTTGGTTGGTTATTAGGGTGATGAACAAATGGACAGGACAGAGAAATGATATATGCGAGTGAGTGAGAAAGCGATCGCCTTTGAAGAGGAGATAAATTGTGTGCCTGAGGAATGATGATATATGCATCATAACCACAGAATCAAGAACATACCTCACTATGAATCAGAGTCCACCGGGGTTCCGCAGCAGCAGCAGCAGCAGCAGCAGCAGTAGAACAATGAGACCCTTTTAGTCCTAAGCCGGCCGGCCAAGAATAGTCTATAATACCAGACCTACGGCCAGACCTACGTAGTGCCAAACTACCTGTCATCTATTCGGGACTGACTGGGTTGGATGGAAGCAGTGAAGGAGTATGTCTCTTCCACCTGTAAGATGGGAGTAAAGTGACTGCGCTGACTTGGAACGTGTTGGTGACCCTTCACTAAATGAGGCTGTCTGAGTTTCCCCCTTTCAAGTGTGATCCGCCCCTCCGAGTCCTGTCCAAGCATTGGCCCTTTTTTGTTTCTATATTGTCCTCAGTTTGATCACCTGTTTCAGCTGCTGAGTTCTGATTGATAGGAACAGTCTTTGTCCTCGGGTTTTATTTCGAGAGCCTGTTCATGATAACCCTGAGGATGAACCTGGTGAAAACCATTCATTTGAGTTAATATTATCGCTGGCGAGGGAACATTCTCAAGTTGTGACAGTCTTTAAGCTGCGGCGCAGGTTGTTGTGAGTAAACCACTAGTCACGTAGTTAGTTCTACCCCGGCGAGTGCAGTGACTGCCGCTGTGCCGGCCGTGCCCGTTTCGACAGCAGTTACCGCCGTTGGCCGGCGGGATTACAGTAGCGGGAACACCCCCCCTGGCTCAGGCTCTGCTGCTGCTGCTGCTTGCTGCTCTCCAGCCGATCGCCCTCAATTAGATTCTCTCTTCCGCCGCCCGCTGCTCGATTAACCTTTCCCAGCAACCTACTGGCATTCCCGCTACCTATAATTCCCACCCTATTCAATCGATCACTACCAGGCTGGTCCTTCAATTCTGAAAGAGAGAGAAAAGAAAACGAAAAGGATACATTCTGAAAAGACCCATTCACTGTGCTCTTTTCTTTTCATCTTCTCTTCTCCAGACACGGATTTACCCGCCTCTACTTGTGTGGTTTTTTGGAGTGTGCCCTTACCCGCTAGAGTCTATCACTCTCTCCCCTTAAAACACTGCCTGTCTATCTGGTGGTCGATCGGTCGAACAATTCCACCCACGCAATTCCTCCTCCCCTCTCCCCCCGAGAAAAACAAAAAAAAGGCCTCCTCCACTTTTCTGACTTTTGAGGGAAACAGCCATCACTTTCGTCTCGCTTCATTGTCCTTGATTTCTTCGTTTTTGTTTCTCTTCAATTCCTTTTGTGGTGGTGGAAATCCCACCTCCGGGGCTGTGAACTCTTTCCTCCGTGGAAGGCAGCACAAAGACATTTTTGCTGCACCCTCCCCCTCCTACGTCGCCGGCCGATTGCTCTGTCGATTTCCCCTCGATACCCCGTTGCCTTCTTCCTCCCTGCCTCCAAACATCTTTCGCCTTGCAGGCACTCCGTCGCGCTTTCCCTCGGTTACGCCTTTCGGTGCATACGATCGTTGACGGGTTATCTATTCCCCGGCAGTT